ACACACACATGCACACATCATAAAAAGTGATATGTAATGAAATCTTTGCAGATTCACTAGGGATGCAAGAAAAAAATAGACTTTTTTTAACTCAGATTTTATGCATGGTATGTTCTTCACACTATGACAAAGTAAGATTGTAAAAACATTGCAGCATGTTGCCTTGCTTACAGTATCACAATATATTGCAATATACTGAATCGAAAAATACAGTGATAATTAGGTAAATCCAGGGTGATAATGCTAATAATGCTAACAAAGAGCTAACAAAGCGCCAGTTATGGTCTTGACAGATCTCACTCTCATCATTGAGGGTGGTGAACACACACACACACACACACACACACACACACACACACACACACACACACACACACACACACACACACACACACACATACACACACTGTTCCTTCCTCTGCTCTCACCACTGATAAACAGAGAGGGGAGGTGGAGGAGGTATCCACTGAAGCAGGCAATCTCCTCCTCATCTGACCCTCTGTACCACTTCAGGCCTTTCTCTAGGCTCCTGGTGACTGTCTCCAGCGTGACCTTTTCAACATGGCTGCCTGGCACGGACATCACTATCCAGAAGTGAGCCACAACACTCCCCTCCCTGCAGCAAACAAAGGCGGTGGTGCTTATTGTTAAAAATGGAAAAGTGAATATTACTGCAGCACACACAGATTTGAACTGGGGACATCTTGATTCGTGGTCACATGTTCTACTGCTGAGGCAGCCCCCCCATAGAAGGTAGTCATCAGCCTCATCAACCAACAGCTTTCTTTTCTTTAAGCAGGTGTTTCTTGCTTAAAAGCATTCAATATAAGTGCAACATGTTTGCAGACTTGAGTATTTACTGTACGTGAGTTCTGTCGCCCCATCTCCTCTTCTCTCTCATTATTACTGTACTGTATATGAAAAAATTTGATCCACATACCCAAAGGCAAACACAGTGGTGTAGTTGAAGTATCGAGAAAGACTCGAACCTTTCATTATGTTTTCAACCTGAAAGACAGAGAAAGACAATATCACCTGTTCTCATATAAAACTGCAATTTGCATTTAATTCAGTATGTTTGTTACTCCCTCAGATTCACTCCTGAATGCTAGCCTAGGTTGATAACACTATTCCATCGGCATTCATCTGAATTAATCTAAGTGTAGTTAAAGGGTTTCCAATAGGTGTACTACTGATGTTCTTTTCTGTCAGGTAGTGTTAAAGCATTGTGAAAATGACATGGAAATATAGAAAAACCAGCAGCAGTCTGTGTCCCTTAGGGTGTGAACCAGGTGTACATTAGTATCAGAGGAATTCATTGTCCGTGCTTACCAAGTTCTGTACTCCCTTGGCCTCTTTCTTGAATGCAGGGCTGTTGTGAGAGGACAGATCAGCAGAGAAGTTCCTGTTGAGGATGGACAGGTAGGCTGTGTACTGCTGCTGGACACGATCCTCCAACACCCAAACCCTGTATTCTGTTACATAGGATGGTATGAAGAATAACACAGCATGAATAAACACAACTTAAAAGCCTACAGCAATGCTAGCAGGCGACTCTGTGAGACTGCACAGCAGTGCTTTGAGCAAAATGCTAATGTCAGCATATACTTAGTATGTATGAATATGTTGCAATGTTTTACTAAGTATATATAGAGTATTTATCTATTTGAGATGTCAAATAAATCAAATAAAAAATATCTAAGTCAATGTGCTGCTAAAAAAAATCATCGTCTAGGAAGCCAAATTTAAATTTCGATCAGATATTTGACTGGATACGTGAAGACCTGACCTGGTAACACTACAAGAAAAATCAAGAGATCTCCAGTCATTAGGATTCATCCTCTGGGAACCATGAATACCATCTTGAACATGTACATGAATATCTGTCCAAAATGTCATTGTAATTATAAGTCTAAATTGAGTCGTAGTCTTATGATCTGAGCCAAAACGGGGGACAGACTAACAGACAGAGTCATGTCGCTAGCATGACTGAAAATGAATAAATAAATAATGAGAAAGAGAGAAAACTCTTTACCCAGGAAGTACCAGGCCAATGCGACTCCTGCAGCTAGGAGGAGGATGATGAGGAAGGCCAGAATACACTTGCAGGACCGAGTATTCCTGGTGGGTGGAGCCACAGCTTGTCCACCAGCTTCTATCTTTGGAGAACCGACAAAAAAATATATTTTTTTGTTAAAAATCTAAAATCTGCTTTGTAAAATCCAGTCTGAAGTGTCTTTTCATACAGTGTCAGTGAGGGCACATCAGGGCATATGAGGCAGTGAGATGTTTCCCCAGAGGATTTGGTTTAGCTACATAGTTGTTTTCAAGTTCTGTACCAAACAAACATGTTTTCAACAAGATTTGCAGGTCAGGGCATCTCTTCAGAACTACAATACTTCATTATAATGCTGCTATAACATAATAATAACAATAATAATGCAATAAAATTCCAGATTCTGCTATTTTCACATTTTGCACACTTAAATCCTATTTGCTCCCGTGCAAAGAAAATCAGCAAAGTTTGTTGGAACATACTCTTTTTTCCTTGTTACCAAGCTCCTGAATTAAAAGTAATCTGACTGAAAAAATCTAAAAATGTGGATATATATATATATATATATATATATATATATATATATATATATATATACTTCTTTTTTCTTTTGTCTTACGATCTTAACAGTTAATTTATAAGAATAAACCACCAATTTAGCATTAAACACATTCGATATCTTTTTTTATTCCACTCCCCTGTCAAAGTATGCCGCCTACATTACCCACAATGCAACTTGATCTGCAGAGGTCTGCTAAGCTCACTTCCTTCTTGTAGTCTTAAGCCCCAATAAGTCAAATTCACAGCTCATTCTGGAGCCACAAAAGGCTTTAAAGGTGACAACTTTCTTTTCCCATAGACTGTATCATTAAAAATCGACACCCACAGTCAATTCCTGGCTAATCCAAAAATGGGCACAGACACAGAGCGTGTGTGAAAATGAGGCAGGCCTTGCCCTTATTTATGCATAACTTTAAGCCTTAATATAATTTACATGGTTTATAAACAGTATATATATATAAACAGTTTTCGGGAACAGGGTATTTAGCTATAGAGACCAAAACCGATTTTGGTACCAGGCTGTAAACATTTTAATTTTAATAAGCATTGTTGGCTTCATTTGCCACCTACGGAGGTTGCTGCCTGCTATTTTCACATCTGCATTTCATCAATACCTGTAAATAGACTATGATGTGTGAAATTGGTTGGAGTTCCCCTTTAAGGCTTTTCTTAAGTAGTGTATGGTAAAGTATTTTAAAATGGACTAAACTAAAGTGAGACTCATCCACCGAGAAACACATGACAGGAAGGGGTTTAAAGTGCAGGAAACAGCAAACCAGGCACTTTTCAGCTGCACCCAAAAGCCTTCAGGTGTATACAGTATGCCAAAATGTTGTATTCCTGCATCTGCATTAACTGGCTTTTCAGACTGTGCATATAAACGCAACTTCTTTGTCTTATAGAAGGTTTAGTTCACAACCAGGGCCAACGACATTCAAAATCAAAACAATTTCCTTTAAATTTAAAGAAAGACCTACATATATATCCATATATATATATATATCCATATATATATATTTCTGTTAAAACCATGTTTACCCTAACAACTCCACAGGTATGACATACATTAATATGACATATTAGATTATAAATATCAGACTACATACTGACCCCATTGTTCAGAGAAGCAGGAGTGACCCCCTGGTCACATGAAATTGACTTCTTAGAGCCGTGCCCGAGCGCCATTGCATCACTCCACGTCCTTTGTTTCTTGAGAAATCATCTCACTGTCCATTGGGGGCTCACTGATGTCTGAATTTCTGATTTAACAGATTTTATTTAGCATCTCCGGTAAGCACTTAACCAGACATGTTGCTCTGACAGACAGTGAACGGTTCCCCCTCTGTTTGTAAGTCCAAAGGTAAAAAAAGGCACAAAAAAAAAAAGGCAATCAATATTTCCCAAAGCTCGTTTGGATCTGCACATTGCTTAGAGATAGGTTGAGGTATCTTTATGCTTTGATAATAAGTGGAATAAAGGCAAAGTGCATGCACAAAGTCATAACTTCTGGATTAAGCGTATCTAATCATATATTTTGTAGAGCACTTTCCCATCTAAAAGGAGCAGCAGTGAGTCAGGTAGTCAGGTAGTCAGGTAGGTAGGCTGATGTAACGAATGATACCTAGCAACAGTGATGCTCCCAGTCAACTCCCCAGTGCAAGTAAGTCTGATGGGAATGAAGCAGGGTCAGGCTATTTACATGCTCAACTCATTTTCCATGCAAACAAGAAATCCCAGTGGGCCATAAAGTGACTCCACTGCACAGAGATAATGCCTGATGGTGAGGCAGAAATGTATGTATTAAAGGAGAGTGTGTATGGCACTTAAAGGTCCAGGTCTCTCTCTCTCTCTCTCTCTCTCTCTCTCTCTCTCTCTCTCTCTCTCTCACCCCAACTGGTCGAGACAGACGACCACCCACCTAGAGCCGGAGGATCTGTCCTAGGTTTCTGCCTTTTAACAGGCAGTTTTTCCTTGCCCTTGTCGCCAAGTGCTTGCTCATGGTGGTACTGTTGGGTCTCTGTAATTAATGTTTTAAAGAGTTCGGTCTAGACCTGCTCTATTTGAAAAGTGTCCTGAGATAACTTCTGTTATGAATTGGCGCTATACAAATAAATAAAAATTGAATTGAATTGAAATTGTGTAGCATTTAGGAGGATCTATGGCAGGGATTTAATATAGTATGTATAACTATGTTTTCATTAGTGTATAATCAGCTTTATATAGAAATTATTTAGAATTTTTTATCTTGAAATGAGCCTTTTATTACTACAGACACTGCAATTTGAAAACAGTTATATTCCAATCCTGCCTATGCATCCTCATCAATGTTTCACACTGGACCTTTAAGAAAAAGAAATCCAAGTTTAACTTTAACTGACACAACTTTTTTTTCTTAGAAAAAAGCATTTATTCATTGCATACAGAAAAAACAACAAAACAAGTTACATGGCAAGAGTGGTAATAGTGGTGCACGTTTTGGTTGTTCATCCACTAAAATCTTTAAACATATATTTTTTTTTATTAGATAAGTTCAAGTAACACAGATTTTACGTTGGTGAGCAACTTCTTCATCTTCATAGTCAGTAGTTTTTCAATAAGCTGCCATATGCGTCTGCAGGACACATAGGCTGCGTTTCATTAGTCGTTCAACATGCCCTGGCACTTGCCCTCGGGGGAATCCCCACCGCCATCATAAGTGTCGTTCCAATTGTCTGGAAAACTGACTGATGGTCACTCCGAGGTGGATATCACCTACAATGCATTGCAGTTTACGTCATTGCCGCTATAACACTGAGTAAGGGCAAGTGCGTTTCATTTAAATCCCCTGCTCCTCCCCTGCCCACTTTCCCTCCGAGCTCCAAGGGGCCTCTGTGCGAGGTATGCTGTTACGTCATACCAAGGGCTGAGGGTAAGTGAATGGGGGGAAGTGAAACTACTAATGAAACGCAGCCTAGATAGGGCTTGCAGAGCCGTGAAAAAAAAGTAAAGAAAGTGTGACAAACTCCGTCATGTGACAAATTACCATCCAAACCTGGGATTGTAGCTGGTGTGTGAGAGCCCTGGTAGGTGAGTATTTTGAAGTTGTGGTAAACACAATCAGAACATTGCCTTATATACATATAGACAGCAGGGTTAGGTTAAAGCAGCAGTCCCTTAAAATATCTGTCCCTGTTTCAGAGGACATTAAAATTGGATTTACCAGTGACGCCAAAATAGCAGGGTGGGCTTCAAAACATTTAAAAAGAAATGCTTTGCAAATGCTTAATGAGGTAGAAAATGCTGTTATTAGCCTTTAAGGACAAATACAATTAAGCCAGTTTACTCTAAGTGGTCTAAAATAACACCAAATGGTCAAATCTGAGAAAAGATGAAGTCCACTTCATAGTTAAGCATTGCTTTTGACACCAGATTTAAACCTCTTATTTCACCCTTTAAGCTGAACCCAAGTAGACATTGCCTATACATCATACTGTTATGTAAGTAAGACAATATTTTTTTTTTCCTACATTTCTTTGAATGTTTAAAGTATTAAAAAAAAACAACCAAACACAATAATAATACATGGTAAAAACAAAAGACATAAAAATATAAATTCTAGATATAAATCTCGTGCTTTTTGCTTTTACTTTATAATGTTGTCATTGGTTTTGTTTGTATTTATTTCTACATCATTTAAAGAGAATGCGTACATGTGTAAATATTAGGAATAAATAATTGTGGATATGTGAATACATATAAAATCCAGTGTAGAAAAAAAATAAATTCATTCATTCATTAAAAGTTGCATACTAATGAGAATAAACAACTGACTTAACCGGATCAGTCCTCCTACTAGATTCTATATTGTTCAACATTTTCTGTAGGACCAACTGAAGAGATTTAGGTCTGTTTTTAGCTCTGTTCCTGTCTTACCGGCATATATCCATCACCAGAGGGCTCCATGCACCTGCTAGCTGACATTAGAGCAATCCTTTCCAGTGTATGACTTGGCAGAGGTTGCAGACTCAAACCTGCGCCAGAGAAGTTCAAAGGCAAAGGAGAGAAAGAGGGCAGGGAGCATGCTAATGGGCTGGAAGGAGGAGGAAACAGGAACCTAGTGGTTTCGGTGGACTTATCAACTTCCTCAAGACTCTCCTCCTGACTCTCCTGCTCATTGCCCCCACTGCTAATGCATGAATCTAGGCTGGGGAGCTCGGGGCTGTCAGCCGGCAGCTTCTGGACTTGCTCGTAACCAGAACAAACCTGAATAGACCCTTTGTCAAAAATACCTCTGCTGCCTCCAAACAGCTTTTGAAAATCTTTTGTATTCCCTTCCTCCCTCTCCTCTTTGTCTTCAGGACCCTCATCATGGGAATCGGTTACACTGATGCTATCTACTTCCAGGCTCTCTTGGCTGATCTCTTCGCCACTGCACATGCCTGAATCTAGACTCTGGAGCCTGGAGCGCTCAACCTGGGGCTTCTCAACCTTCTCATAGTCTGAAATTACTGGCATAGGCTCACTGATGTTGCTGCCTTTGCGGAGCAACTGCGTGATTTCCACTTCTTTCCCTCTTAATTCATCCTTGCCCTGTTCTGCATTTTCACCTTCACCTTGATTAACAACTGGTCCATAAGGTGAATCAATGCCACATGGCGCCAGATTCCCCGCTGTGAGCGAGGAGACAGGAGGAGGAGGAGATATATGCGAGTAACTGGGGTTTGAAAAGCTGGAACTGGTCGACTCATTGCTGCTTTCACTTCTCATCTTCTCTAGCAGTGCTGCATCCGGCCTGCTGGGTGAAATAGCATCCACAGTGGAGGTTACTTCTACAGAGATGATTTCCACCGGTTTCAAGAAGGAAGAAAATGATTCACTGGTGAAGTGAGGACCCAACCAATTCTGGAGGGAAAAAAGTCAAAGGCAGAGGAACAAGAAGAGGAATTGAAAAGGTTAGAAAAATACAATAGATAGTTAGGTTGTAAAGCAGCATAAACATCATAAACAAGCTAATACCCAGTGTTTAACGTGTTTGTTCTCTATTCTCTGTTGCTACAGTGACACAAACATTTTGGATCATAAAGGTCAAATGTCTTTTGACTAATGAGTAATTTTTCTCCGTCTGGTTTCACCGCCTACGTGAGTTTTATGTACATCCTACTGTTTTGCGTCATGTTGTGCTCGTCCTTTTTCAATATGCATTGCTATCTTTAAAGCTGCACAAATCAATATTTTTATATTAACCATTATTATTAATTATTAGGTCAATTTAATATGTGTCTTCACTACCAGGCTGGTAGTGATGAACCTGCAGATAGTTATTGCCCAACTCTGCAGTTCCATTTAGCCTTATGGACCCATTTAGCTTTGTTCAGCTAATCGTCTTGGTTTTCTGGCTTGAAATTTTGGTTCAGTCTCTCTGCTTCATTAACGTTGTCTCCAGCTGTAACAGGGTGGTGTCTCGAGGAAAAAAGCTCTGATAAACCAACTGTATGTTAACTGCCCAGCACCAATTGATAGACAGACAGTTGCCGTTAGTGACTTGCTAGAGAGGAAAGTTTCTAAGAAGCTGGTGGAAACCAAAATAGAGAATAACGGTAATTATTGGACTTATATGCGTATGGTGGCCGAGACACAACTCCATGTACTGTAAATGCTAACTATGCTTTGGGTCTACTAATAAGTAAAGTAAATGTTCTGCTAGTTATTCACCATATTAATACACCAATGTTGTGTTGTGCTTGTTCTGCAGTACAGTATAAAACTTTTTATAAAAAGCAAATATTTCAAAACTTAAAATCATTGCAAATGTTGCTACTGTAATTCTTATTAGGATTAGTCTGCAGCAGTCCCCTATTTAAGTTAAGTTATGAAAACAAAGAATAAGATTTTTTTACATTTACATCCTGCAGGAAGGAGTATCTTGGATCTGGTATGGGTGGACCTCTGATTCTCTTTCCTATGTAAATCCTAAAAGACAGAATGACATGATAGTAAAGGGAAAACAAATCTGAAAAAATGTATTGTACTGCTCTTGAACAAAACAAAACCAGAAATTAAAATTTTAAAATTAAAAGTGTCACAAATGTCTTGGAAAAGTAAAAAAGTACGTTGTAGTTGTGTTTGCTTACCAGGTGGTTTTGTCAGTCCTGATGAGTAAGCAAATAAAAAAACACAAGCCCACCACCAGCATGCAGGCAACGATCCCAAAAGGACCCCCGGCAAAGTCTGACCAACACAGAGAACAGAGCATGTCACACTATTGGTAAGCATACTGTATTTATCCCACAGTAAAGTACAAATCTGGCTGGGGATTTTTGTGCAATTATTCTGATACACAATGACAATTAGCAATTAGTTACCCAGATCTAGAGATAGGGTAAAGATATTTCAACAGAACAGAAGGATACATAAAAATATAAAAATAAACTGACCAATGAGTAATTTAAAAACAAAAGCAGGCTTTGCAATGACTGCATTTGTTGTTACACTGAACCACTACTCATATTTGGCTGACTTTACCTGATGGTGGTTTTGCTTTTCCAATTGGCGATACCCATGATGCAGTGGGGCTCCAATCACTCCAGGTTGACCCGTATTTATCATTCCCGACTATCTTCACTCGAATGCGTGCCTCGTACCGCTCATCTTGTATCAGCTGATCTGGATCCAGCTCCGCTTTGCAATCCCACTGACATTGCGTTTCATGGGTTTGTTTTTTTTGCACAGAGGGATCCTGGCGAGGAAGAAACAAATGTGTAAGTTGATGTTCATGTCTGTTTGTTTACTCTTGCTTGTGTTTCCTACAACCACACGCCATGAATTGTACAAATCGTGTAACATTCACTAAAATATACACACACTCATTTTTGCATTCACATACTAACATAGACACAAAATATATACACACGGTCCATGACTGATCCTCTTGTTTCCACTGCAGTTGGGACTTGTAAAGTGATGACCGTAGTACCCCATGCTCGGAAACTTGAGGGATCCAGGAAATAGTGGTAAAGTTGATAGTTGGTTTTGGCCCAGGATTCAGCTTTACTGAAATATCACACACACATAGTTTGTTCTAGGTCAACATGAAAAGCTCACAAGGTAAGTCACAAGAAGGTGATATATTATTCAATGTACTCACTATGACAAGAAGGCATGTAGTAAATGGTGAAACGTTGCTTCCCAGGCTTACAGTCCAGAGTAACGCTCAAGTTGTGAATTGTTTGAAACTGAGAAGATTTTAGAAAAAAATATTGCTCTTATAAACATCCATAAGAAACAAAACAAGACCTAAATTAGTGTAGCAGCTTAGAGTTTTTTGTTTGTTAGTAAACGTAAATGATCCGCCCAGCAGCTACACTCGTAGGATGCTCTGATTAAAAGCCCCAGCTAATAACGTTAAATGTAGATATAAATGCTGTCCAGTGTTTGTCAAAAACCTTAGAACAAATGAGAGTAGTTCAATATATAAGAAGGTAACAGAAATAACTGGAATTCAGGACATTTAGTTGCGTTTAATTATTTTAAATAGTAGAAGAATTGGTCTTCAGATCTAACTCTCATCCTCTTTCTCTATCCAACTCTCCCAAGTCATTCTTCTCTAAATTGATCAGTATTGTTTACTACAGAGCTTCTCAGCCTCACCTTCCACTCTGATTTGAAGATCACAGAGCACTTCTGTAGCGTTGGTCTGGAGACGTCAACAGGCTCCAGTTTACAGGAACCATTGTATTTCCTGAAATAAATTCATTTTAATTAAAAATTTCTGCATTCATAATGTTATTATGACATATCTGTCCAGTTTTTCTTTGTGTAACTGCTGTGCTTACCCCTTCCTTTCGACATATATTGTGCACACAGTGTCTTCATGGTCAAACACATATGAGCTGTCCCACACACAACTGATGTTACGATTGTAGTCGTTGTAGCAGGTGAGATCTGTAAAAAATGAAGATGAGATGAAATGAAAAGGATGAAACCATGTCATTTTAAAGAGCTTTTTTGTTGTGATTAGTCTTGATGAAAGATATTGATTTTAATTATGCTAGACAATATAAAAGTGAATTGTTAGGAGTACAAATATAAAAAAAAAGATCACTAACTTTTATCATTTTCAACTGGGGGGCTGGGACAAAAAAGAGTGACATGAGGCAGAGCAAGAAGAACAAACAGAAGAGAAAGAGGGGTTTTCTCTTTTCTCTCCATTTATGGCATAATCCCTCTTCTTTTTCAGGGAGATCGCAAACCACCTAGATGGTTGGTTATCAATGACTCGGAGATGTGGGGATTTGATGGATTGTTCTTCGGATTGGTCTGTGACTCACTGCTTCCTCCTTATTCTCATTCTGTGAAGATGAAAAGATACAACTACTGACAAGAAGTGACAGAGGGATGACGAAGGCTACTGTATATTCCTCTTCTGCTTTATTTTGTGGCATTTGTCAGAGTTTATTTCTGCGTAAACATACACAAATACATCAAGAAACCGCTGTGACACCAACAGATGATTGAAAAAGCAGAAATAGGTATGTTTCCGATTCTGCCTCCATTTGTTTGCTCTGGTTCCACTTACACAGATAACCCTACCAATATGCAGTTTAGGTTTAAGCATTCCTCTTCACAAAATATTTTTAAAATAACTCAACAACAGACAAATATGATAAAAGATTAAAGCGCTCCAGGCTCTAAAAATCTGAATTTACAATCACCAGAATAAATATGCAAAGTATTCAGTTAAAAAAAAACGTTGCCATGTTACCACAACTTGTTGTGACAGTTGTGACAGCTGCTGGGATAAAACTATTTTTATACTGCTTTGTTCTACATCTTGGGACTTTGTATGGCCTTTGAATGGAAATCCTCTGTTAACCATGGCTTCAAAGGTCAGGATCAGCACCACACTTAATTTCATCCTTTTAGTTGTATACAATGAAATAATGAGATAAATCATATATGATTTATCTTAAAAGTTGAAAACAGCACCCCCCTCACTAAGTCCTGCTCAACAGCACTTGAAGCCACTATGTTTAGAATTGAAGAATAACTAAACGCCAGGCTGAAAAAGCAGTAGCTGCCCGCTCTGGTTAAATCTTTCCGACCTGTTTCACCTCTGACCACCAGCATCGCAAATTGTTGCAAGGTCACTGGAAGTCAGCAAAGACAAGAAGTTATATATATATACATATATATATACTCTCGAACAAATCTCTCAAACCGGTTTGGTGATGTAGCCTTGGCTGAATGAAAAATAGGAAAAGTGGCTATAAGCTAGTTTGTAGATCTCTGAACAGGTGTATAGACTATGTGATCATAGCATTTTTTGTTGATGTTGTTGATTGAATTATTTTTTGCGATATCATCACTGGGGGATGCCAAAATTGGACATTGGACAATTTCTGCTCCAGTGGCTAATGAAGATGATCAGAATTTCGTGCCAAAGCATTAACTTTGTACCAACACATGAATAATCATGCAGTCAATAAACCACAGCCTGTTTCATTAGATGTGGGTGTAGAGCCCTGCAAACCAAATGACTTCGGGTGAAACTGAGCAACCCTTCGATAAAACATTTTCAATAATGTGCTTCATAGACATACAGTCATCATACCAGTTTTTCATAAAAAAAAAATAGCCAAAATACCATTTAGCAGAGCAGGTCCCACATCCTCTCTAACCCCCTGATCACACCTAACAGTGTGCGACATGCCACTTAATACATGTTAGACACAGACTTAGAATTAAGCATGAAAAATATTAACTTACCTGGTGGTGAAGCTCCTTAGGATCGACTTCAAAACGCTTGTTTCATTTCTTTTGATGCCAGAACATCATAGTAAAAACGCCCCCTGTAAAACAGAAAAAATAGAAGATAACATCTCCTTGAAGGTCAATACTAAGAAATGTATCACAAATCAGGTCTTATTGGTTTGAATCCACCCCCACTCCTGAACAAAAAAACCTCTGAATGCAGTCATTTGCACCTCTGTTTTTGTGGTGAACAGAGTTTCCTCTTGTTTTTTCCTTCGACTAATAAATAGGTGCATATTCTAATGGCAGTACTTGTTACGTACCTGTTTCCATAGTAGCTGATTTAAAAAACTCTAATCGACAGCACGGTCCTAACACAGTTGAATACTGGCCACTTCACAGCTGATGCTACAGTTTTTAACCCCTGTATAAGTTAATTGTTTACCATTTACTTCCCTGCAGCCATAACTCAAATTTGATGTGTTTCTTCTTTTTTTTCCAACAGTCAGTTCATATATAACAGTTGCTGCTTTTGCATGTGAACTACACTGACATTTAAGCTCTGTCAAAAACAGGATGAAAAATAAATAATGTGTTTCTCACAGGTACGACTTGCGAAATGTGGTTATTTTAGCCCACGGCAAACCAACCCACAAACACCCACAGCTCCACATACAAAGACTGACTTTCACTTTTCACAATAACAGTACAATATCTTTAAAATGACTTTTGAGATATATTTCCATTAAAGCAAACTTTTTTACAGTCCACACTCAACATATATATATAAATGTTCTTTTTCCATTGCGGTGCACAGGGGAAAGGCACAAGCTCTTGCTGATACCTAGGTCACCTGTTTGTGGTTTGTTAAAAAGGTCAGAGCTTATTTTCTGAGAACCCAATGTTCCGTTATTCTGACAGGTGGGTTTCCTGCTAACAAAACTTCATTTTCTCAAAACTTTGCTAATCAGACTGCAAGTCATGTTTTCAGTAATCATAATCATTAACTCCTCATCAGTGAGGTAGTCAAAAAGAAAACATGTTCTCACTTGTTGTAAAAGGTGTGAAAAAGGGAAGCAAAATGAGATCCTCTTAAAACACTCTTTTAGCTGCTTCTGCTTATAAAGGGTCAAAAGGTTTCAACCCAGTATAGATCAAATCCATCCTATTATATGGTTATAGATACCAAAGCCAATATGAAGAGGATTGAAACATTCCTCAATGGGTGCTTGAGAAGGCAATGTGGCATCTTGTAGCCTAACAAGATAACAACCCTAAAAATTGTACAGAAAAAGCAAAGATATCTTCTCTGAAATGAGACAGAGGAAGCTGCAGCATGGCCACATGTTTCAAATGAAAGCAGATCACATACCAAAGGTTGCATTCCGATGAGCACTATGAGGCAAGCTAGCTAAGATAATTTTATTTCTAGTATATAGTTATTTTTGGTGTGTTTTTCTATAGTGTTTTTTTTGCCTCCATAACTCTTTGTAGAAAGAAAAAGGCCATGATACATATATAGGGGTTTATTTAATTACACTTTGTCTATTTGTGTTTGTAGATTTTCAAATTCAACAGTGAGATAATGCCTCATTTGCATATTAGTAATCAAATGGGGAAGTTTCATGATATGTATTATTTTTTTACCCTATTTACCTGCAGTGTCTTGCCATGATTGAAAGCTAGGTAAGGTATAGTGAGAAGAAAGCATCAAGCTTAAGTATTGCTGCCATGGTTAACCACAGTTTAACATACCTTATAGACCGATACAACAACAGTGGTTAAACTGTTGACCGGAGCTTTTTTGATATTTCTTGTTATACAGTTTTAATTTGATACCTCTCTGTGATTTAAAAATTAGTTATCATGGCCACAGCCATATCTGTGTATTTTCACCTTCCCTGTGTTTCCAGCGCTACCCTGTCTGTCTGTCTCTGTGTATGTTTGTATGTTTGTAGTAGTGGTCTCGCTTCCAGGCTCAGGGCTCTGCTCCTCTGCAAACCCGTTTGCCATATATCATCACTACTTCCAGTCAGCTTACCTGCCTCGCATCAGTGTGCACTACTTCAGTCCCAGCTCTACACTGTACTTTACCTCAGTGGCCGAACTTTAAAAGATTACTCTCATGATTTAGCTTCCTTGTGTTTGTCCTCCAGGATCATCACTCACCTGCCAGTTTTCCTGCAACCCCTACATTCATGCTCATGCCAGCCAGACTACTCTATCACCGTCATCAACCTCTGCTGCCATCAGATCTTCCATCCCTATCTGTGTTCTGCTCCTAGGTCCACATTTGATCGGAAACATACCATGCGTATTTTCCACAGCAATGGCATGACGTGGAATAAAAATCTGTGTAATTCTCTGTAAGTTTTTGTTAGAACTGATGGTAAAATGTGGCGACAGAAGATGATAATGATTCCAGATATAGCTTTTATCTCAAAACATGTGCAATCATCAAATTCATCATAAAGGACATTCTTTCAGTTAAACCAATTAGATTTTGCTACAGCCTCTGGGAGTCAGTCACCTCGTTGCTGTCAAACTTTAAAGCTGTCTCTCTGTAACTCTCCCTGTCAGCTGTCATGTTACTGTCAGATAGACGCCACCCTCCTCCACCCCATTCACCTCCAGTTCGTATGACAGCCAGGGGTGCTTTTCATTATGCTAACATGTCTCCTTGTTTATCTCACTTGCTTCCATTCTTTGCATCTTTGCTCCTCCCAGCGAAGATGTGTGTGTGTGTGTGTGTGTGTGTGTGAGAGAGAGAGAGAGAGAGAGAGAGAGAGAGGTGTGTGGACGAGATGCGAGGACAGGGGAGTCGAAACTGCTAAATGTGGAATCCTTGCTTCCACAGTGTCCGGAAACAATGCCAGGAACCGTACAGTGTTAATTTAGATATACAAATTGTTTAACATAATAACTTATGGGAAGTGTATAGGTGTTTTTTTTTTTTTTTGCAGCTTGAACTGTACTAAAAATCAAGATATTTTTAGCTCTACTTCCTCAATTTTTACCATTCTTTTCTCTTAACAGGTCTCTCACAAGTCCTACAACTTTATGAAAGTGTAATACCTATTTGCCAGAGCGCCCCTTTAATGCCATTTTAAAGTGTCAGCTCCCTGTTTGTCAAATCAAGCCTGATGTCATGAGACAGTCCACCAACTTCCCCAACTGAAGGTCTGTACTTATCCATAATTTCCCAAGTGAACATTGGAAATTTAAGTGATTCTGTTCAGTTGGCCACATCTCATGATCAGCAACTGATAATGGGAAAGGCCTTGCTAAGGAAACTGTACTTTCTATCACACTCAGTAATCAAGAACTCTTTCAAGTCTGACTTTGTCAGCCACTATCTACAGTCACTTTCTCACCTCTTTCATAGAGAGATGTTTCATTTATATATATATGTCATGTTCTGACATTTGGACTTCCCCTAAACTGCTCCAACTGAAAAGAGCTGACATTCTCTTTCCTTTATCTTTCACTTGTTTTCTCATAAGCACATAAATAACCACAAACTACACACAGAGAAAAAACACACAAAAACCACTTCCTAACCCCCTTCTCTTCCCAGAAAGCTACTGTTGTTTCCAAGTATGCACTTATTTTCTTATCTGATACTGATACTTATACTGATCCAAAGACTAAAGACACAGCTTTTAACTGCAGTATTAACAGGCAGCAAACAAGCTAGCCCCAGTCCTGCTAGCATTTAAATGCATTAATGCTGACCGACACACAATATACAAACATTTCAACTCATTTAAATCTTGTATTTGTGAAATGTGTTTAAGAACAAGTAGAACAATGATTTGGGAAATGTAGGCTCCTCATGAAGTTAGTTGAAGTTTCTTACACTAACTTCATGAGGAGAATCAGTTGATGGTTATTGTACACAAGATGGTCCATTACTGGCCCTCAGGCAAATGCACATTTTGAGTTGAAATGTTGAGGGGCTGCTCTTAACTCAAAAACCCAAAGCCTAACCCTACCTATATGTTAACCAGTCTGCTAACTGCTAATATTGGTTAATGTCATAGCATGATATAAGGCAGCATGACAAGCTGCACATTGTTCAGAAGCACAGAGATTTTCATCCACAGGGCATCCCATTGGTTATACCTTTCATTGTTAATCCTTTCTACAACTTCAAAAGACTCAGTGACAACAATACCAAGTTTGGATGCCACAGTGTCACATAACAGGGGGCTTAGGGCATCGCTTTGTACCAAAGTGGTGACCTCTGTGGTTGGCAAATGAAGCCAACATGGCCAACGTACCAAAAACTGCAATTCCTTGAATAGGCTGACATCAGAAGTGAGTCAACCTCCACAAGGGCCCAAATACATACACGTTTACATGCCTAGTACAAAATACAGTTTTGGTCTCTATAGCTAAATACCCTGTTCTTCACAACTGTAGGGGGGTTCACCATTTTAAAGGGTATATTAAGGCTTAAAGTTATGCATAATTTAGGGTATGGTCACTTTGAGTGACAGGTGGATGCGTCACAAGCAGCTGGCTAAATGATAAGGCCTATTTGGCCCACCTCAGTAACACCAACACTCCACATTTTTGGATTAGCCGGGAGCCGGGACTGAGCCAACTTTTGCCAGAACGCAACAAAATGTCATCTGGAAAGCTGCTGTGGTGGCCAATTAAATACATGAAAATGCACTTTTTAAAGTAATAAAGTATTTATACTGGTTACCTTGTGATCTTTTGCAGTCAATGATAAAATAATTGCAGCTGTGAGAATTTTCTATAATAAAATCCTCTTTCAGAGTATGTAAACCTCTGTGCAGTATTTTGGCACCTGATAAGCATAGCAACTCATATTTATTTATCAAACTGGAGTTGTTGGATCATATTTTGTGTCGAACCAGTACCTGAAGCAACATGCTGTCACAAACCCGCTTAGCTGTTGACAGTTGGGTTAGCTGAGGTTGCATGCAGGTACATTTGACTATTTTTTGACAGGTAAACAACAGTGCAGGGGTGTGATATTCATATTCCCTTACATTGTCACTCCATCCCACCTGTTCTAAAGAGCAAAGGTAAGACAGGATGCCTGTGGGTGGAAACGGGCCTCATTTAACTTATTCATCAAAAAGAGCTGAGCATGGCACTAGCACTGCTAGTTTTAAATTGTTTGGAATCCAAAGATTTTGTGAGATGCTGAGAGGAGCACATTAAAACCCGAAACCCAGCAGACATATTCAAATGAAACATAAAGCTTCAACTGAAAGAACGTAGGGTGATGGTGGGAGAAATTAACATGACTTGCAGCAGCAGCATGTAGCATGTGGGAGTAAGCAGCATGACCTGAAACACCTTTTCCTCTAGGTCAAAATTTACATTTTTCCAATACTTTGGTTGGTAACATCAGAATTTTAGCATGTTGACATTCACATTAAGTCTCACAAAACCACTAGTTTTGCTGTAGAGTCCTTAAGCAAAAGAGTATGTTAAATTTAACACCCCATTAAGAGTTTCTCTCTCTCTCTCTCTCTCTCTCTCTTGCCTCACTGCCCCACACTGTTTGCTTCTAAATGGTCTTTTATTAAGATTTGGCTGAAATGCTTCCACAATGACAAAATGTTATCAGATATAGTAGAGGTTGCGGTTTCTTCATCCTTAGCGGCCATCATAGCATCACTGTCAGTTTACAAGCATTTATCACCAAAAACAATTACCAAACCTAACTCACTTTATCGTCTCTATCTGCTAAAGCGTAATTTCCTGTCACTCATTCATTCATGACACTAAAAAATAAGTTTGATATACATCAGAAAATACCTCTTAAAGTCAATTTATACAAGAACTTACCCGTCCAGTGTCATTCTGTGGAGATCTCTTGCCTTACATGACGGTCTTCACATACATTCTGAATGACTGATCAGTTGTTTCTTTAACTGTATACTAATTCAGAAAACTTTCATCAGTATGTGCTCTCAACCTCTGACGTACAGGAAAGTTGAACTGAGCTGTGGTTACAATGTGGTTTCCCTGCCGGTATTTGGGTGAAATGCTATCCCTGTCAAAGAAGTGAAGAAGTGGAAATCCCTTTTCAGGGTTTGTGCTCTCTCTCCCTCTCTCTCTCTGTCTCTCTGTCTCTCTCCCTCTCCGTGTCTCTCTCTCTCTCTTTCTCTCTCTCTCTCTCTAGCTTTGGCATGCTTTGTTGCTTGTTTCCGTTCCCCTTTTTATTGCTGTTTGTGTCACTTTAGCACTTCGGTTAAAGGCACACTGGGTAGTTTTTGGTATTTGTTGCCTCTTAAAAATGTCTTTCTGTTACCATCACATGTGGGGAGAAGTAACAGCAGTGTGTGCTTTCCCAAACTACACATTAAAATTCCCAAATACCCTAACCAGGTCTTAATACAAACTTAAAGACCCTTAATTTCATGCCTCCATTCCCTTACTTTGGCAACTTAAAGCCCCCCCCAAAAAAGAATAAATATGTTTTTCTTCTTGTTTCTTATTTGGATGTTTAAGCTTCACCGTGCATGTGCAGAGTTTGACACTAGAAGGATTTTTTCACATTCACCGATGAAAATGGAAAGTTTCTCTGTGGTCATCGAAAGTCTTTTTTTAAGGGGTGGGCCTATGAGCATGATTTGTTACGTCACAAATAGTTTGTAAGTCATTCCTGGTCCAGGATGCAACTTGTATAAGCGTGATGTTGAAACTTGAAGCCACCAGTGCACATACACTGAGAATGGACTTTTCAGTGAAGTAGGACAAAGCTTGTGTCCAGCATTAGAAATGAACAAAATGTACCTGTTCATAGATCAGATTTTTAAGGATCTCAATCAGGAAATTCTACTTTTTTCTGTGGAAAGAAGATACACATTATGTCTTAACACATGCCTGGAGAAACTGCGAAAACTGCCAAAGTCAAAGGTGGAAAAAAGGAAATTGATGCTAAGGCTGGAGCTGTAAAAAAAAATGTGTAAGGCAATACTAAGTCAGGCATGAAAACGGGTCAGGGGTGAAAAAGGTGAGAAGGATATTACCCCCCGGACCCCATAGAAAATTTTGAATATTCCATATTTTAAAGCATCAATCTGATGCATTTTGAAATGCGTTTTTGGCCAACCTGGGGAGAGCTGGAGAAACTTAACTTCAGCCATGAGTCAAAAATATTATGGCCTCCTTACTAAGTATTATGCAAACCATTGTCAGCCAGCCTGTCACTGGGTCTAACATTTACAGTATATGAGGAACAATGTGGCTTAATGCATAACCCCCACAAGAGATGGTGGACATGCTGTAACTTAACTTGTCTACTCTTCCATCATGATTGACAGCCAATACAATGTTATGTAATTCAGATTTTAATACATTTTATTATTTCTTTTTTGACCGTTAGCTATAGAAGCGAGCAGCTTTAGTAACAATATCTACCTAATATTAGGTTAACGTTAACGGTAGCATTGGCAAATAAAGTTCCACTCTGGTTGAACTGTTGCAGTTCCACTCTGGTTCCATATGAGGGCGCTCACAGGATGAGTGCAGAATGAATGGAGGTCTATGGAGCTATACCCTCAAAATCCACTTTTCTCAGGATATCATTTTTTATCTAGTAATTTGAATGTTACATTCGAAAGGGGATGCAAAGAAATTACACATTGCTGGGTGTTAGATTTTTTTAGAGTCACTTATTTGCTTTAAAAAGTCTTTTAAAATGTCAATGACGTCATACACATCGTACCGCTTTACGGCAAGCCTGACACAGGTTAGGCTCTCCCTGTCAATACACGTGCTGGAAAGAGTTTTTGTTTTGCTGTTTTAAACACCACGCCGAAATATTCATATTCCCGCTTCGGATGCCACGATGCCATCAAGCGGGATCTCTGGTCGTAATCAGTCCTTCACTGACCAATCAGCGTTCATTAGCAGAATGCTAGCGTGTTATGGGCAACAACAACTCAACCTGTAAGAAATCGAAAGGACATAAGTACTCGTTCATTCATTTTTCAACCTATAACCCATATTGAACTTGTAAAAACTACAATCAGATTTCTCAACGACAATCAGGTGAAAGAGACGAATTTAGCCGTCTAGCTCAATAGACTCCCATTCCTTTTGCACTCATGGGCGATCGCCCCCAACCATCGCTGAGGGTACTGCAGGTGGTCCATGGAAAAGCTAATAAAATATCAAATAATATTTTTTTTAACCTTCATTTGAATAAATGTGATAATAGCTTTCCCCTTGAACTAAGCCTACTAGGCTTATAGGGCCTACTTTGAACTTCTCTTTTTTTTCTTTCTCTGTCTCTCTCTCCTCCTCCCCCTCTCTCTCTCGCTCTCAGGCAGACAGACAGAGAATGTTCTTATTACTGTAACGTTATAGATTTAATAATACTACATTGTTAAGAAAATAAATTGTTCAAATGAACCTGATTATGCCATAGGGCGCTGGAGTGAATAAATAAAATATGTGGCAGCTGTTGTTTGCAGTAAACTTTCTTTTAACATGTCTGTTGTATTGGAAAGTTTTGCCCTTTTACGAGTATGCGTCAATTTATATTCATTTCTATACTAACCAAGATGGTGGATTCCTAAAGAAACGCAAGCACCCGCCCCATATCTAAATTAGCTATGTACAGTGACTCGAAGAGCTGTAAACAGCGTTGTAAGGCTGCGTGTACAAAACCGCTTGGAGCTCCAGTGGAAGTTTTATTTCACGACGAGAATTCTCGGTCTAACCGGAGTGAGTGGCCCGGAAATAGGGCACCCACCAGCCCAGCACCAAACTCTGAGCATGGTAAACAAAATCCATTTTTTCAGGCAGTAAAAGCTCCTGTTAAGAACCAACCCAGATTTTGTTCAAATCTAAACACATATGGCTACTGAAAAATGTAAGGTTCATTTATCAAATGTTATTTTGAAGTATTAAAAAACATCTTTGTTTTAGAATTTTCGAACGAAAGGGGCGGATATTGGTGTTTTTACGATACTGATGCGATGACCAGCTATAGTTTTAGTGCTAGTAGGCCTATTAAGAGCGGATTACTTCAGGTAGGACTGTGTGTAGACATTTTATTATGTGGATTATGAGGTGGTCCGCGAAAATTCTTGATTACAAATAGTGGTCCACACACAAAAAGTTTGAAAACCCCTGACGTAGGTCACCTATTTTGGTTTCAAACGGCGAATTTTGCCGAAAGGTGAGTGATTTTCATGTACGTAAATAGCCCACTTTTATAAATGTTAGAATTTTAACAGATGGACGCCTTCCTCTGCCACGGCTCACCCAGAGCACACACATGGGGAATTTTGTACTAAAGAAGCAAAACAGACTTGAAACTCAGACTGCTGAAGCATCATATTAGGTTCAGCTGAACACTAGAATGTATTCTTGCACAGAACAAAGATTGTGCTAGGAAAGAATCACTTCATGGCTAGTATGGAGAGGAATGACTAAGCAGCCAATAAGTCATTCAACAAACATAAGGGGAGTTATCACACAGTCCAAGCTTTTTTTAGGGGCAGAGGACTTAAATACCTTATATTAAGTATATTGAGTATCCTTAAATCAAGGTCTAAGTGATTGTTAATAGAAGATTCCTTATTGCAGAAACTCTAGTTTGTCCTGAAGGTCTAGATGTAGAATTCGATTTGTTTTACTTTGGCGCTCCCCAGTGGTACAGTCATAGCAATGCACACTACGAAAACATTTTAAAGTTACATTGCAAAACCAGCAGTTCCAGCGAATCAGTCGACAACAAAAACATGTTACTGTTATACAGACTGACGATTATCAGCTGCCATTTGTTTAACAGAGTCAATTGAATCACTCCTTTCAGCTGCAGGTTACATGTTTATCGTGAGGAGCTTCTCTGTATGACGTCACGTCGAACATTTAACTTCAGCTTTTTGTAAACCATCATGCACAAATGAAACTTCTGTTTTGCAACAGTGACTCTCACATCTCTGTTTCTGTGCAGTGGCACATTCTGGCACTGTTACATAATAGCCATTATGATCTTTGCATGTTTGTAGTCCAATAGTGTTCATGAATGTGTAAAATACTCCACAATGCCCTAATTCATATTCAGTTTGACCTCATTTCTAAACAGAAAACGTCAGCAAACCATTTGTCCGTCAGGTAGGACAACAATTAACACTGTCAATAACAAACAGACGACAACTAATGTAAACCAAATACCACCTACATAAATTTGTTTTTGTGAGAGACCAATCATACATCAAAAGCACCATTTTACAAACGTTAACATTTTCATAAACCAACACCTCAAAGGCTAAGATAGGATTATAACAGACACTTATACTGTACTGTATAACAATGGTTTGATGTTTTGCTGCCCTCTATGTTTGGATGGAAATATCTGGTTTTTAACAAGGTCTATTTTTACCAGTTGAAATCCAGACATTAAATAAGTTTGTTGCTAGAAAATGGGAACACCTTCATATGTTGCTTCATACATTATTCAATTATTCTTATTAGAATACACATTACTGTTGTCTAAAAGTCTTGACATAAGACAGAGGCAAACTTCAATTATGTTGTTTTAAATATTTTAGATATGAGAAAAACATATTTAAAACAAGAAGAGACATTTTTGGTAGCTTACCGCCACTGGACCTTATGTTCACAGCAAGATAACAGAAATCCTTCCTTTATCAGATCAACACACTCACCAGTTAGGGCCAGGACGACACAGCTACTCCCTCATAAATGACATTTACTCAACAGACCATTCAACAAGAAGAGGAACAAAGCACTTTTGGGATGTCACTTCCCATTTTAGGTGTCAAGTCACTGTATTTTAACAAGTAATTTTAGTCATCCTTTGTTGGTTTCTTTTGAAGTCATATTTACAACTCATTTTCCTTAATAACACAGAATGATGTGTTCATATTTACAACATACTGTTGCTCATTGTTTTTGACGCAACGCAAGGCTAATTTTCAAAATTCATTCATGACGCTGTTCACCAATATAAGAAAGAAGACATTTATTTTTATCCTGTTATTATATATATATATATATATATATATATATATATATATATATATATATATGTTTTGGGCTTTTTTATGCCTTTATTTGATAGGACAGGTGAATATTGACAGGAGAAGGGGGTAGAGAGAGAGAAGTGGGGTGACATGCAGCAAAGGGCTGCAGGTCGGAATCGAGGTAAGGACTCATCCTCCATGTGCCTCATTTTAAGGTAACAAAAACAACAATGAAAACGTGGCTATGGATATTATATTCCACTTCTGCCATATTCTACCAATAGATCCCCCTAACCTTATATATATATATATATATATATATATATATATATATATACATATATATTCTTTTTTACATTATATCTTATTCTTTGAAAGGGGGGAGGGCACTGGTGAGGCAGTGTGTGGTGTGTGTATTTGTTTGTGTTTTGTGTTCATTCTATCAAGCTTAAAGCCCCTTCACATATACAGTACATACTCATATTACATGAGGAGTAGCCTATATGTGTATGCGATTGCCACAACTCCCGTCTCATTGTGATTCAAAGTGCAGCTCTGTTTTATTCCAACATAAGCAGCTGTAAACAAACTTATTCCAGTTTCAAAACTGTTGGTTTAAAAAAGTTTAGTGTTCACATATCGCTGACTCTTAAGTCAAGTCATCTATTAATGTGTTTGGAATGAAAGAAATGTCCCTTAGTGATGCATGTCTGCCATTACCCATAACTGTTAAATGTTAAAGGAATAGTTTGACATATTGGAAAATGTACTTTTTTGCTGATAATTAAATGAGGAGATCGATACCACTCTCATATACACTAAATATGACAGGTGGTTAGCTTATCTTAGCATAAGGACTGGGGACAAAGGAAAACTGCAACAATAAGATGGTGGATTTTTGATTTTTGCCAAGATAGCTGTTCTTCCTTTGTTTCCAGTCTTTATGCTAAGCTAATCAGCTGCTGACTGTAGCTTCATAGCTTCAGAATACAGACATGAGAGTGGTATTCATCTTCTCATCTAACTCTTGCCAAGAAAGCAAAATATGGTATAAGCAAGTTCCCAAAATGTAAACTATTCCTTTAAACTTTAGCACATAAAAACAAGCAAAGAACATCATCCAGTACTAGTTTGATCCAGTCTCAACTCATCAACCACACCTCCTGTGAACCAATCACAAATGTTTCCCTCGTCCTTCAGATATGACATGCTCAGGCACGGCACGGGTGTACCACTCCGACCACCCGCCATCATACACAGATACACCCGGGTGGCCGCACTCGTGGGCCGCCAGCGCCACGTGACACGCAGTCACGGCCGAGCCACACAAAACACAAATGGGACGGCTGAGGTCCACGCCAGCCCGGGCGAACAGAGCCTGGAGTTGCTCCTTGGGCAGAAAGTGACCCGACTGGGACAGGAAGGAGTGGAAGGGCACGCTGATGGAGCCAGGGATGTGGCCTGGCTCTGTGTCTGTCAGTCAGAAAGAGAGAATGAGAGTGAGATTTGTGTAGAAGAAGTGTATTTATTATTTATACCCCTTAATCTTTATTCACAATTAATTAGCCACACACAATACAATAACCATGCATCAGATTTTGAAGGAGCTATTTTGTTCAGGATTTGTTGAGGGTTTCTGAAGTGGTGATTTAACTTAATGGCATCTTTAAAATCATAGTTTGTAGCAGTGTTAAATCTGCATTAATTGCATTTTTGGGGGGACAGCAGAAAAAAAACGGCAAAAAAAAAAAATTGACATATTATCACATCAAAAAATGAATGTGTGCTAACATGTTAGCAGATGGTGTCTTATTTACACAGGAAGCAGACCCGGAGACACGTTAGCATTCATTTGGAGTTGTGTTTGTGCCCACCTCACAAGTAAGTCAAATTTAAGTATTAACTTTCTATTTATTTGCATTCTTTTAGGTTCTTTTCTTTTTTGAGAAAAAAAAAAACATCTGGCTCTTTAACTACCAAATGTCCCATAATGTTCACCAGCTGGTGACTTTGTCTGTCTGCTGTTTGGTCCTGGGAAAGTACAGTAAGCTGCAGCTAAAACACATCATGAGGCGAAAAAAAAGGAACTGATAAAAATTAAAAAATTTCTGTTCTTCTTTGCTAAGCAGGATGTTTTGAGCATTTCAGTCAGCAAAATAATGTGTAAACACCGTCCTTAACTGACATCTAATTCACTCTCTTCGATCTCATTTCAATTGGTTGTACCTGTACTCTATGTGTCCTGGTGTTGTGCATGCTGGCTAACTGTCACAATAACATGGTTTACTGGGACACATCAATAGAATACGGTCATCATTACTGCTATTAGTAACACGTTCTTTTTCTACCAAGCCAGGATAGTTGCAGCCAGTGTTATGGTGTGTTTGTTGTTCTCTCCACTCCCCATAGTTAAGCGCTGCACGCATCAGACAGACTAAGAGGTCAGAGGGCGCAACAAGCGTTACATCATTCCAGCTGCACTCTACTATCGACTACTCAACATTATTTAACCAGTGGAATGGGATAAGATCATCATCGTGATCATAAACAAACCTATGTCAGCTGCTGAAGGGATTGAGTCTGTCAAATCTGGGCTACAGGAAAGAGAAGATGGAGACATCAGGCTGATAGAGCAAAGTTTTCTCCAAAAATCTTTTATGACTAAGACAGCGATTCTCAAACATTGTCGGGTGGGTGAATGCACATTGTTGGGACCGACAGCACATATAATATATACATATATATAGTGACTAGGGCGTATCATTGTTTAAAATGTTTTAATATGATCACCAATATTTAGTTGAGTTTTAGTACCAATACCAAAACAATAGTTTTTCAATACTCTGAGCAATATAAGCATTTAACAAAAAAATTCCAGCAAGAACTTTATCTAAATAAAATACATTATATATTACATGCATAAATCTTATTCAGTGTTTTTTAATGCTATGGACAAATAGTTTTATAGATTAGATTATCCTGTCTTTGACTGTGCTAGACAGCTTCAACAAAAATGGACACTTCTCAACCAAAGTGGTGAATGTAGATTTATGTTGCAAAATCGTAAACTTTATTTGACAAAAAGGGGAATACTAGTCCTGTTCACACTTCCCTAAACTATGCACTGCACAGGAAAAATCTGTTTGCCTAAGGTCGAAGTTCAGTGCTGACACTGCTTTCACGAATGGATTTTCACCTGTGAATGGGCACTCTTAACAGCACATCAAAGCTTTTCTCTGTGCGTTATTGTGTATATGTACATGTATGCAGATATGTATGTGTGTAGAATAAGATAAGGCACGTACTATGGGCGTCTTATCACTGAATACAGACTGCTATCTGTAAAGATCGACATAAGGGTGGACAATATCTAAATTCTGGACCATTCACTCTATCTGCTACTGTCCTTCTGCAGTGTGTGTGTGTGTGTGTGTGTGTGTGTGTGTGTGTGTGTGTGCGAGCATATGGGTCAGATATAAAATGCATAGTTATGAGAGCATGTCCTGTACACTCACTCTCCTTATGTGTTTGCGTTGTTCAGTGATTTAGGCTCAGCCTGCTGCATGCCTGCCTGCCTGCCTGTGTGTTTGTCCAGAGTAAACTCTGCAAAAAGCCTGCATACAAGGAAGTCCTGGACTCAGTGCACCATTGCGGTTTTTCCACTGCATGTTTGTGCCATGCCGAACCCATATTGTCACAGAATGAGACAAGCATGTTTTTGTTTTGATTTTGTTATGAGGTACAATAGTTACATCTCTATTCGTTGTGTTGTTAATGAATATAATCCATCTGTTTTCCATAGATAGCGCGGAATAGCAGACAGACAATAGGATGAAGAAGTGTGTTTATTTTAGTTTACTGTCACAGTAACATGTAGGTCAAGCACCAAATGTGTCAGGTTCACTACATTGGTAAATGTCAGTCATTGAGCGCTTACAGTAGTTTATGAAAAAAAAAAACTAATAAATAGCTAAATATTTGTTTTGGGGGTATTTGTGAATATTTACAAAAGCAATGTTATTTGAATTTGTAGCTCAATATTTATTAGGGCTCCAAATGTTTACATGTGTTAAAGCTTTCATTTCATGGTTTGTTCGAATATTGATTTTTTAATATGTGATTTTGCATGTGCCACGATCTCAAATGTCCTCATTAATATGATGACACTGATTTGAATTGTTTTTCCAGGTTGTCAAGCACTAGCAATTGTGACCTGAGAGTCCACCGGTTCCCATTAAATCAAAAGCCAAACATATTGATTTACTATCAATCCAGCTGCTGTCATGTTAATGTGTAACAAAAACCAACAGATTGATGATCTGATCAATGAATGAACAATGTCCGATCAGTGAGGCTTAAACACATGTAACGTGACGCAATCAAAGGGTTAACATTCATATGATGCAAACATTTTTTCAATATAATAAAAAAGTTGTTGCAATCACTTGATTTCATGTAAATCTGAGTAACAATATGTTACTTACAAGAAACATAGTTGTTTAGCGAGTCAGCTTGGTCTGTATGACTCATCATAAAGACAACCATTGCTTTTTAGAAAACTCTACTCAGCATTTTTTTTCTGTCATTTCATTCAGTACGACTGTGAATCAAAACTCAAAACCATGACTCACGCCAGTGTCATGCTCGGACTCTTTCGCAACAGTGATGGCAGGAATAAACCTAATTTCTTCATTCATCCTAATCATCATCATCATCAGTGATTTTGTCCCAAAGAGTTAGTAGTACCAGGAACAGAGGTACTCTCTGACTCATTTGGGTTCACAGCTGAGGGCCCCATTTTCTAAGAAAATGAGCAGCTAAATATCTGAAATTCTTTATTCTTAACTCTTATTATCTTGCAGTCTGTAGCAAACGGTCTGCAGATCAAAAATGGGTTTTTAAGACACTACTAAGACGCAGAGGAACAAACAGAAATTGAATTTCGGTGCTGTTTTTCGTTCTGTCTCCAAAATCTACTTCACTAAAAAGATAAATTGATAATATTATTCTGAAAGAGGAATAACCTGTTGTTAGAAAAGGTAAACTAAAGGTGACCTTTAGTTTGAATTTAAACAATCTTCCTGTGTATCTAAATGTTACAGACATTATATAGACATCTATATAGAGAGAGATATTATAAATAGGCTTACTTTGTTCACCTACAAAGTACTTTACCTGTTCAGTGTTGTTGTCCTTGTTTATAGCTGTCTAAATCTATCTTTCTGAAATTTGTTTTTGAAACAGCATGCCTAGTGATTATATCTGCTCCACTGCTTTCTGTTTGCCTTCATGCTAAACTCCATGATGCAAGAGACCTAAACAGAGCCGCACCATCATCACACGGACTGGGTTGCAACTTGCAGACTACTCACTGTCTCTGGGTTCAGGGTCCAGTCCTTTGAACCTGCCTGCAGGCCTGGCGTCCACCACCTGGAACTTTTTGGTGTCCACGTTATCCAGGATATCCTCGTAGGTCTTGATCCAGGAGCGGTTCAGGGAGGCCTTAAACTCGGTTGGTGTTGGTCTGACGTAGTGGTCGCTCATCGGTCGACCCTCCAGTTCCCAGTTCCTGAGCCCCCCAGTCAGCAACGAGACCGCGCTGTGCCCGAACACCCGAAACATCCACCACACACGGGGCGCAGAGAAGGCGCCGAACTCGCTGGCGTCGTACACCACGACGTGCGTATCGCTCTCTATTCCCAAATTTCCGACATAATCTGCAAAAATCTTCTCTGACGGCAGCATGTGGTCCAGAGGAGAGGTTTTATCACAACATTGGTCTATGTCAAAGAAAGCTGCACCCGGGACGTGCCTCTTCTTGAACTCGCTCTTGGCGTTGCGCCGCAGTTTAGGCAAATACCAAGAAGTGTCCAAGATGCGCATTTTCCCCTGGACCTTCAAAGCCTCCGCAAGCCACTTGGAGGTGAGCAGGGCTCTCGCTTGGAGCGCCATGGTTACTTTTTTGGAGAGGTAGACAGCAGGCTTCAAAGTTTACTGCAATAGATCTAACTAATGCTGTGCCAAAGGTTGGGAGTGTGGAGATAGCAAGGGCATTGATGGTGGAGAGAGAGCGCAATAATCAACACGCCCCCAGTGTACAGTGCAACAGCTGGAAGTGAATGGAGGCGGTGACGCGTTAAAGTAATGTGATTACTCTGTAACGAGCAACCATTTTAGGCACTTTTTACCTGGGTAGGCTATTTAAACTCATTTATATATATATATATATATATATATAGATAGATAGATAGATAGATAGATATATATATATACATTTAAAGTAGCATATTACAATAATACATAAAATATTATTTCAGTGTTTCTTATCCCAGAGTGACAGACAGGCATACTCTTTATATCTGAGCTCTCTGTGCATAATCAGGTTAATTTCTTTCTGCTTCAAATAGAATATATAGCTTCAAATAGCTTCATAAAGTATCGCCTGTAGACGCCCGTACTTTTGGTTGCTTTACTCCTTTTACTGCACATGCACTTTGTTTGCCCTGGTATACTACAGTGGCTAATATTCAACTTAAAGCTGCAATCCATTTATTTATTTTTTTCATTTTTTATTTTTTTTTATAGAATCATGTTGAATCCGTTGTTAGCCTTTTATTTAGGCTGTTATTTTATTTATTTATTTTTGTCACTTTTTTGTGATGTAACCTACTAATTTGCTGCTTTCGTTAAATTATGCCAATTTATTCTAATTTAATGTATTATTATTATTATTATTATTATTATTATTATTATTATTATTATTATTATATGTATTATTGTTATAGCTGCTGCTACTATTTGTGTTATCTGTTGTTTGTGGATTCTTACTGTTTTTTTCTCTTGTACATAGTGTTTTTTATTATTTCCCTACTCCTACTGTTTCTTTATACTGTTTATTTTCTCTATCCACTTTTCTGCTGAAACAGTGGAATTTCCCCATTGTGGGACAAATAAAGAAATATCTAATCTATCTAATTATTATTATTATTATTATTATTATTATTATTATTATTATTATTAGCAGTAGTAGTAGTAGCTGTTGTTGTTGTATCATTTATAGTAGTAGTAACAGCACTAGTTGGCTGAGAGCGAGAAGGCAGAACTTTACTCATCTTCGACTTCTGTTCCAGCCGGTTGCTTTCAAACGGTGCACACGAGTAACGTTAGTTTACCGGATGTTGACAGTCTCACAGACACGTTGCTGTGGAGCAGTGGAGGCAGATTCTGGTCGATGTCGCGTTTTATTTGTATTTAATTCAGCAGACTCTTCGCAGTGTGAACCAAAATGTCGGCGTCGTTGGTGAGGAGAGGGCTGGAGCTGCTCAGGGACGATATTAAAGGTAACATTAGCACAGTGCCAGTGATTATCAGCTGTCTCATTGTTAAAATGATGATAAATATGGACAAGTTAAAGAGCTCAAATTAAGGCTTGTTTAAGAGATGCCTAGGTAATATTTTTAAGCGTTATAGCAGATAAAAAACTAACCTAAATTTACCATGTGTGAAGTTAAAGTCACCAAAACATGCGGTTATATATTGTAGTCAGATTTGAATCAGCTTTATAGTCAGGTTTGTGCACACATACAAGGAAGAACAAATTTCATTAAGATAGAAATAGACAAGGACAAATATGTGCACACAAGTAAGCGTGAACTATATTTATAAATCAACAACGAACAACAACAGTCAATGTCTATATAAAGTTAAACAGCAGCAGTACAAAGAGTGCTGCAGTAAGTACTAAATGGCTTTTGTAATAGATTACTTTATATACATTATTTGGGTGTTTATGTACAGTACATGCATGTATACAGTGTGCTTAGATTTATGGTGATTATATGCACTTGTTTAAAAAAAGGACAGTCTGTATACTACTATATTAAACTGTATTAAAATCCACACTTTCATCAGTGCATTGGTAACCCACGCACACAGAGGAACGTGTTGCCTTTTAGCAGCCTAAATTTGGTTTGTCTGTGTCCTGTGCACCTCGCCAGATGCCAGTAAAGGGAAGAAGAAGAAGCAGCAGACGCCGAGCTCGGCCACAGTGATGAAGTTGGTGAGCACCAAACGAGAGGGAGTCACCAAGCAGGTCAAACGGCTGCAGGGTCGCCTGGGTCCCGGCAAGAGCAAAGCTACAGTCAAAGACAAGAGGATCAAGTCTGCAGTGGGTGAGTCGGCTCGTAGGTCTGCACAGAGGAAAATACACCCTAAAGCAGAATTCCCTTATGTTATTTCAGCAGTGTCGTGCTACAGTGTGTAGCCCCGGTTTACTTTCTGAACTTAATTTCAGTGTAAATGTAGATACTGTCCATACTGTCACTGGAGTAGACAACTGGTAGCTTATGTTTATGGAGCAATAGAGGTTGCCGTGTCTGTTCAACAGTATTAATACTTGATGTAATTGCAGTGTTAGTAGCCCTCTGGTGTTTGCTTTATTACAACATCTGTTATTGCTTCTTGCTCTTCTTCTGTGCTGTTCATTGTAGAGGAGTTCAGGAAGAAGCAGGGGAAAAGCCACCTGAGTGATAACCTCAAGTACTTTATGGAGACGGGCTACAAAGCAACAGATTCGGACACTTTGAAGGTAAGAAAGGCGAAGATCACTCACTTATTACAGCCATACAGGAATCAGAATTTTTATTTTTGAAAATGGAAAATTTAGTTATTATTATTAATATTATTATTATTTTTAAGTCTACAGAAACATGATAATTAGTCATCCGTGTTTGTTTTATTCGATCACGGATTTTCTTTTCTTTTACTTTATATTTGCTTCTGCTTCTCTCTACTGTCCACATATTCAAGTGAGTTCATCATATAGTGTTGGTTTGCCCTCTGTGTCACTTAGATCCTGAGCCACAATTCAGGGAGACAGTCCAGAAATCGCCCGGACCAAACCGCCAAGAAGGCCAAGGAGCCGCAGTCTTTGTTCACAGAGGAGGAGTTCCAGCAGTTCCAGAAGGAATACTTTGGCAGGACTGTCGAGGAGAAGAGATAAAGAGGCAGCAACACAAAGACAGGATCGAAGTGGATTTCTGGACCAGATTATGTTCTGGAAGTTGGTTCCACTTCATATGTCTCAACAACGGAACAAGATAACTTTGAGGAGAAATGTTTCTTTGAGCTAATTCTGTGCTGATGTTATGGTTACTGTTGCATTCAGGGATCTACTTCCTGCTAAGAGTTTCCCTCCAAAATGTGTCTATGCTGAAAATATTATTGCTCAAACATCACTTCCTTATTAGTTAACATTTCCAAACTTCTCTTGCGAATGTGATTTATAACCGCTCATTAGTCAAGTCAGGTTTCACAAGAGAAGGTGCAGTTTATCCGAATGGTTTATTCCTGATAGTGAAACTGCTTATAACACCTCATTTGAGTCGCTTCATTTCACACATATTAAGACACAAAAGTTTCTTTTTCATTGACATTGTTAAACTCCATAATTATAATTAACTGACATTCTGATTCTTCTTCATATTGTTGGGGTATTGTCCTCCGGTCGACTCACAGAATAGTCCAGTTTGTACTAGAATTTTATTTAAATTCCTACATGTTTTACTATTGAGCACAAATTCAAACACAACATTTTTTTTTTTTGAGTTTTCAACATCAAGAATCTCTGGTTGACTGTGTTATTTGTGTATCAGCAATAAATATACATACACAAATAATAATACAAATGTTGACTTTGTATGAGTTTAGCCATGATCACTAGCTTACTTTCTTTCCAGAAAAACAGGTACAACTGTGAAATCACTAGGCATGAACTTTCAGTTGTGTGCATGAATGAAGGCACAATTAAACTTCAGTGTTGAGGTTAAAAAGTTCTCATACAGGGATGAGTGTTTGCAAGCCATGTGGACATCAGCTTTGTTATCTGCAGGACATGGATGTGACTTAAAAGGATATTTTTCATTCCAACAGCAGCAGAACTTGTAATGGGTGTGTAAACTAGATGAATGCAGATGCTTTAAAAGCCATGAATGAATGCCAGTTGAGTATTGAGATGTCAATCATCTTTATGTCTAACCTGTTGATTTTTGGGATCAGCATACATAAATAGACGGTGAGAATGAAAGTAAGTTCGGCAAAGGAGAGTGACTGCAGAACGACTCAAATACAACAGGGAAAGTTTCACAATGTCCCGGGTAAGAAATCAGATGATTAAATCATCCAGAATGATTAATGAATTAGTATTAATTGTTAAACTGCATGCTGCTGAAATTAATTTGAGTGAATCTGCTCAGAATAGGTAGCCATGCTGATGGTGAGAGTATTTCTTTAAGTTTTTGAGATTCTGTGAATAATCCAAATACAGTAACAGAGGTCAGTTAATGACATTTGAAAATGATTTCCTTCTGCTTAAGGAGGAACGTTTTCTCTGTGCCATCCTTAAATCTTTTTTTAAGACATGCTCCACCAGGGTTTTGTGACATAATCGTCTCGCAGGTTCTTGTCAATCCTGGTGGAGCCTCCTGCCATGGTCCTGCTAGATTGCCATTGCCAATACTGTTGTTGCTGTGCACCTGTCTGTCTCTTGCTCGCTCTCTCTCTCTCTCTCGACGACCACCCACCTAGAGCCGGAGGATCTTTCCTAGGTTTCTGCCTTTTAACAGGCAGTTTTTCCTTGCCCTTGTCGCCAAGTGCTTGCTCATGGTGGTACTGTTGGGTCTCTGTAATTAATGTTTTAAAGAGTTCGGTCTAGACCTGCTCTATTTGAAAAGTGTCCTGAGATAACTTCTGTTATGAATTGGCGCTATACAAATAAAATAGAATTGAATTGAATTGAATTGAATTAACTGCAAATCAAATGGCTCAATATGCAACTTACACAAGTGTGATGGAGAAACTTGAATAGAGAGGACTTTTAACTGAAGGTCTTGTGTTCACCAGTTAAACGTTGAAAAACATTTGCATACTTATGGTTTCAGAATTTTTCAGTGAGGGAGGAGGAGTAAATGTGTTTTTACTATTTTTTAACAACTTAATTGAACATTTCTGTGAAAAAAACAAATTATTCAAGGCATATCTTTTTTTGTATGCCAAATGTCTGGAGGGGATCTTTCACATATGGATCTGATTTCCATCTCTGTGTGTTGGAGATTTCCAATTGCAATCACATCTAGTTTAACCTAATATCCAGTTTGCAAACGTTAAAATGAGACAGGTTTTGTCCTGAGCAAAAGTGAAACCAAAAAACAAGATGTGACCTTGTCAACAACAAAGATGTGATCAATCTTGTCTAGCGTGCTTGGCAAGGTCAATTTACAGTTCATTTGTCTTGTATTCATCCTCAGCGGGCATTTGATAATAATCTACAGCGGACTAGCTCTGCCACCATTTTTTCCTCATATGAAGTCTTTTGTAAGGATGTCTAGATCACAGTCCTGATAGAGTCAGGTTGGGAATTTGACTCCAGTTAGGGCCATGTTTACTTAGATACACACACTCTGTTATTATTATTATTATTAGTAGTAGTAGTAGTAGTAGTAGTTTTAATGCAACTTTTCTAATCTGGATAAATGTCAGACAAATGAGGTAATTGAGGAAATACAGAGTGAATGAGTACTTTCCTATATCTTTAAATGTATGTAAGCACAGAGTGATGCCCCCTCTCTTTCTGCAGCCAGTTCCCGCGCCAAGGAGACAGATGTCCTGTCCCGAAAAAACTGAGGATGACTTTCCATTAAAACCTTCAAAGGTTGGTGCTCAGTAATCTCCACATTAAGCAATGGTTTGTTTTACTCTGTACTGAGATCAAGTGGTATACTTAAATCAGGGTTCGTCATACTTTGCGGTCAAATTCGAATATTTGTATTGATCTGATATCTATATTGGATTATACCATGCTTGATATCAGTATGTTGATATGTCTAAATGTGACTGTACTCTCAACAAAGAATCCATAATTACAATTCAGACTAATAGCAGAACTATATAGTTAACTGTGTGCTTATATATATACCTATTGAGAATGAATCATTCAAACTTATAAGACTCAGCGTGTCTTTGTATTTGTAACACTGTAACACTCTGCCAGATACTCAGTCTTTTTTAATACAGAATATTTATTTCCATTCAAACTCAGGGAGGTTTGGTCTGCTCAACTCCTCCTCCAGTGTTACCAAAGAAGTGGATTGTTAAAAACAGTTCAAAGAGTTTCGACACTGGACATGACTATCTGGAAATAGTGAAGGTAACATTTTGTGTTTTATTTCAGTCAAATAAGTTCAATTAAATGAAAAACCTCCTATCTGCTTTTGTAAAAGTAACCTGTAGTGACCCCATATCCCAAAGGTTCCTTCTTTGTCATGAGTTTGAAGATTTGGGTTTTTTTGGGGGGAATTCCAGTTTCAGGAATTGAGCGGAAACTGAATCACTGACCCTGTAGCAATAGCAAGAAGCCCTCAAAATTACATTAAAAAAACAGGTTGATCATTGTTTTGTAGACCAGCAACATTTAATGTTTCTGACGCAGCATGAGCAAAACAGCAAGTAAGTGACATATGTCCTAAAAAACCTCCAAATGTTACTAACTGGTAAACAAATGTCATGAAACTTTCCCAACTTTCTGTTTGACTACAGAAAAAAATCTATTTGGTTTTCTTTCTTCTATCTATTCTTAATTTAATCCTTAATCACACAATGGAATTACACTTGTGTGGAAGTCCTGCATTTAATTGAGAAAGAGATGCCAATCAGAAATCATCAAATGGAATTTTGCCAGATCAGAGAATGACGCAGAAAAGCAGAGCATGAAAAGAATGAAAACAGGCGGCCTCCATCATGTGAGATAACTGATCCTGTAAACATTATTACATTCACTTAATAAATGTGAACTGTCGCTCATTTTCTCAGGTGATGGCTGACCAATCAATTGATGATAAATGTAAAGCACAACCTCCTCCGCTGCCTCAAAGACTTCCAAAGAACATAAAACAGCTTGACAACGAAGATGAAACCCTGGTAACTATCTTACAACTATGAAGGTATTTCACTATAACAATATTAAGAGAATTCAACTGCAATCTCTCTCATCTTCTACCAGGATGAAAGCTCTCTGTTGGACTGGTGGAAGGATGTGACACGTGAGTCAGAACACCAAATTGAAAAGAATCATGTTTGGTGCTCTTAGTATGTTTGGTAACTTAATGTTTTATTGATTTACAGCCTGGAAATTTCTGTGCAGAGACCTCAAACTCCAAAAAAAGAAATCAAGAAAGTAAGTAGATTATTATACCTTTTATATTTCTATATTTGAGACATAGTGTTAAAAAATGGCAACGGTAAAATGCTGATGTTTAGCAGGTATAATGTCTACCATATTCACCAGGTTTATTGTGGTAGCATGCTAACCTTCGCTGAATGACACTAAACACAGTGCATCTGAGTCTGATGGGAATGTTCTTGCAGATAGCCATTTAAGGGACCAAAGTGATAACAATTCTTCCTAAAATCTGCAAGTAGTTGTTGAGCTATTTCACAAGATAAATGAAAACTTTAAGGCTGCTAGAGGAAAAGTAAGGACATCACCAAAGGTTTATAATGTTTTATTATTATAATAATTTGATCAAATGTTCTCACAATACATTTCCAGGGTCATCAACATTCAGGCTGACCACCTCTATAAAGCTGTCCGGGTTTACATCCTCCTGCTGACTGAACACGGTGGCTTCCTGAAGCAACTTAATGATGAGCTGCTCTGCATTGCTGACAACTTAGACAAGGTAACAGGACCACATATGATAATGAAATGTTACGTATATTGCGCTTTTAAGAATAATTGAAATTGAAAGAATAATTTACCCTAGCTCTCCAGTCATAATTTCATTCAGACCAATCTTATATGACTACTGTACTTTCTGTGTTGGAGTGTATTTTGCTGTTGTGCTCAGTTTCATTTGTTCTGAATGCTGTGAATATATATTAAAACATATATCATAACTTGGTCTGGATATGATCATTGTAGTCTAATCAAATACCTGAGAATCAGATAAATTCCCTTTCATCTTAAGGTTTCAAAAGGCACAAAGATTGCTGGCATCACAGGAGGAGCTACAAGTGTAGCAGGAGGAGCGGCAGCAGCTGCCGGGGTGATTCTGTCTCCGTTTACACTGGGACTCTCACTGGCCCTGACTGTTGTCGGGGTTGGTGTGGCTGCAGCTGGCGGCGTCACTGGTGCATCAGCAGCCATCGCCAACAAGGTGACCAGACGTGAAAGAAACTTTAGGGAATTTTAAAGTATGTCTTTGTTTGTGGTTTGTGTCTGTGGGATGGCTGAGGGGTTTGGCAGTGTTTTTTTAGGGTAAGCTAATGGTTTCCTTGCATTCTCATTTTTTCCCCTTTTGTTTATGTTTCTTGTACTTGTACACTTGAAAGGGGAGGGTGAAGCAAGAGTGTTGCAATCTGCAATAAACTACACAGCTAGATGCCACTAAATCCTATGCACTGGTCCTTTCAAACTAACTGTATGCATGTCAAAGTGAAGCATATTGAGTTTACATGTAATAAAATGTGCTATTTAAGTTATAGTTAAGTTTAAGGATGTCAACACAGCTGGCAAGATACATTAATTCTGGCAAGTGTGGTGCGGAAAGAATATATAATACATGTAATATTCATACTTGTGTTTTCAATTGCGTATAATCACGTGAATACAGATTTTTCTTACCTTAGAATGAGCTGTTTATATCTACAGATGCCACAGGTCGCCTTCCATGGAGTCCACTATGTTGAACTGCCACGTTTCTACAGTAGCCCAGAAGGGACAGACCAAACGTAGCTAAATACTACACACTGGTCCTTTAAGTTAAAGCTACTAGGTGTAGCACTGGAAATAGTTCTGCTCAGGCTGCCTCCCAATAGTTCAATCAACTTTGGCAGACAGTAATGTACAGGATGAATGAGCTCAAAGCAGCACATAGACAGCGGCAATTTCCACCAAAATTGTTCAATTTGCAGAATTGATTGCTACAAACCCAAATCATTCTACACATAGTAGCTTTAACTTTTTTACTCTGCTTTTTTTATTTACCATCCTTGGTGTCAAAGCTGTTTAAAATATTATAAAATCTGTTCTTCCAGGTGAACGTCACTCAGGACAAGAAGAAAATTGAAAAGGCCTTCCAGGATTACGAGGACCGCATGAAGGAGATTCGGGAATGCATCACTTTCATCAGTGGTGGCATAGAGCAGCTAAGGCAGCATGATCTGTCTCTTCTGGATGAAGCCAGGAAGGAATCAGTGAGAATAGGCCAGATGGTAGAGCTGGCTACTACAGGAGGGGGAAGTACCACAGTTATTGAAACTACGAGTAAGGCATGTGGGCTTATGGAAGGCTTTGCCCTTGGCATTGATATCCACTTCACCCAAGGAAAGGATGGTAAGAAGCAGCTGAAGAAGGGCCATGAGTCGAAGTTAGCAAAGAAACTCCGCAGTCTAGCTGAGAATCTCAAAAAGGCTTTGGAGGTGCTCATGGAAATGAAGGACGACTTCAGTGAGCGCTGTCCTGGACAGTAAATGTTTTTAAACTTGCCGACCTTCTCCTGTCTGATTTTTCTTTTTTCAGATATTTACATATATTTTAGAAATGTGGTTGTCATAGACATTTTGATCTATTGGCAGAAATGGAATGAATGCATAATCACATGAAAACAAGAATTGTTGTGTTTTTGTTACCTTAGAATGAGCTTTTCGTATCTGCATAGGGACTGGGTCCATTATGTTGTCACAATGTTTCTACAGTAGTCACTGGCTCTAGATTCGACCTTTTGCGTGTCTCATGGCCACCATAGTTTCTCCTACACACTCTGAAGGCGAGCAGTATTCAGTTGGTTGCAATCTGCAGCTTCACCACTAGATGCCACTAAATCTTACACACTCACACTGGTTCTTTGAAAAGAAAAAGAAAGTGGGTATAACAAATTTAAACACAGGGCACCCTGTTAGCTCACCTGAGTTATGCATTTATGTTATGTTTGTCAGTCTCCACTTCCATATTTTTTGTATGTATGAGATTACAGAGCAATACATGTACACACTGATTAGCCAAAATTCTATGAATTAGTAGAACTTGAATGCTTACAGTTTTAGTAAAGGGATGCTTCTCTGAAAATGTTTTTTACATTTTGTTGTATTCTATCTTTTTATTTTGTTTGTTGAAAGACATGTAATCTACTGTATAACCTCCAACATAATTAATATAATTTGGGATTTGTGTTATTTCTATAATTGTTATAATTAAAGAAAATAAAATTAAGAATTAATTTGCATTGTTGAGTTTTACACTCTTTTTGTAAATGAAATCTGTACAATAGCGGGCCGATTGGTTTTGTAATTTAATTCAGCAGACTCTCGCAGAGTCAAAATGTCGGCATCGTTGGTGAGGAGAGGACTGGAGCTGCTCAGTGACGATATTAAAGGTCTGTCCAGCACTTGAGCTCGCTAGTTTGTTGGCTAACATTAGCACAGGACACCAGCACACTCTTTCAGTTCAGTCCCGACCAATGCCAGTGATTATCAGTCGTTTCATTGTTAAGGTTTGGGGATAACAGATGTGGTTACTCGCATTTCCTCGCTGCTGTTGTCTTGAAATAGGAAACTGGCGATTTAACTCTTATTTTGCTTTATTAGGACTTAATTATCTGTGGTTATAGTCCATCTTGTCATTCAGAAATGATGATAAATGCCTAGTACAAGTCAAAGAACTCAAATTAAGGCTTTTTAAAGATATTTAAGAGATGCCTATACGTATTATTTTTTAGCTTTATAGCAGAGAAAAAACTAACCTAAATTTACCACTTGTGAAGATAAAGTCACCAAAACATACGGTTATATATTTTAATCAGATTTGAATCAGAGTCAGCTTTATAGTCAGGTTTGTTCACACATACAAGGAAGAACAAAAATCGAGAGCTTCGCTTTGGAAATACAGGGATTGGATGGCCCTGAGAAGTGACCCCCTCACCCCATACTCCCGCAGCACTTCCCACAAGATATCCTGGGGAAGCCGGTCATATGCCTTCTCCAAATCCACAAAGCACATGTAGACCGGATGGGCATATTCCCAGGCCCCTTCCAGGACACCTGCGAGAGTAAAGAGTTGGTCTGTTGTTCCACGAACAGGACGGAACCCGTACTGTTCCTCTTCAATCAAAGGTTCAACAATCAACCGGACCCTCTTTTCCAGCACCTTAGAGTAAACTTTCCCAGGGAGGCTGAATAGTGTGATGCCTCTGTAATTTGCACACACCCTCTGGTCCCCCTTTTTAAATAGGGGAACCACCACCCCAGTCCGCCACTCCTTCGGCGCTGTCCCTGACTTCCAAGCAATGTTGAAAAGGCGTGTCAACCAAGACAGCCCCTTAACACCCAGAGCCTTCAGCATTTCTGGGCGAATATCATCAATCCCCGGGGCTTTTCCACTGTGGAGTTGTTTGACTACCTCAGTGACCTCCCACAGGGAAATTGATGCAGATCCCCCATCACACTCCAGCCCTGCCTCTATCACAGAGGGCGGGTTTGTTGGTCTAGTCGGGTTCAGGAGTTCCCAAAAGTGTTCCTTCCACCGTCCAATTACCACCTCAGTTGAGGTCAGCTGTGTCCCATCCCCGCTGTACACAGCTTGAATGGTTCCCCGGTTCCCCCTCCTGAGGTGTCGGATGGCTTTCCAGAAGCACCTGGGTGCCATCTGAAAGTCCTTCTCTATGACTTGTCCGAACTCCTCCCATAACCGCTGTTTTGCTTCCTCACAGCTGTGGCTGCAGTCCTTCGGGCCTGACGGTACCCTGCAACTGCCTCGGAGTCCCCCGGGATAACATATCCCGGAAGGCCTTCTTCTTCAGTCGGTAGGCTTCCCTGACCACAGGTGTCCACCACCGTGTTCGAGGGTTACCGCCCCTTGAGGCGCCCAAAACCCTAAAACCACAGCTCACAGCCGCAGCTTCAGCAATAGAAGCTTTGAACACCAACCGCTCTGGTTTGATGTCCCCAGGAATGCTGGAGAAGCTCCGCCAGCTCCAACTTTTAACTGAACAAGGAGACGTTTTGTGTTCACCAGCTAAACTTAGAAAAACATTTGTATATTTATGGTTTCAGAAATTTTTGGTGAGGGAGACCTGGGGGAATGTGTTTTCACTATTTTTTAACAACTTAATTGAAAAGACACAAATTATTCAAGGCATATTCTTTTTATATGCCAAATGTCTGGAGGGGATCTTTCACATATGGATCTGATTTCCATCTCTGTGTGTTGGAGATTTCCAATTTACAATCACATTATTTCTACCTAATATCGAGTTTGCAGACGTTAAAGTGAGACAGTAATCAAGGGTTTTATCCAGAGCAAAAGTGAAACCAAAAAACAAGGCCTGAACTTGCCAACAACAAAGATGTGATCAATCTGGTCTGGCGTGCTTGGCAAGGCTTATGCTCTCCTCATAACACAATCATGCATTTGATAATAATCTACTGTGGAGTAGCTCTGCCACCATTTTTTCTAATATAAAGTATTTTGTAAGGATGTCTCGATCACAGTCCTGATAGAGTCAGGACTTAGATAAACATACTCTATAAAGTGATTAATGCAGGTTCAGAGTTCTGGAAACACGTTGCATTAAAGTTTTAATGCAACTTTTCTAATCTGGATAATGTCAGACAAATGAGGTAATATTACAAAATACAGAGTGATACTTCCCTATATATTTAAATGTATGTAAGCACAGAGTGATGCCCCCTCTCTTTCTGCAGCCAGGCGCAGTGCATACGCAAGTAATTTGGCGTACAGAATGAAGTAACCTTCTGCATACTGCGCAGAAAAAATTAAACAGGTCAAAAGTATCTGTGTGCTTGTACACCGAGGAAGGATCTTATGCTGACCCAGAGCTCGCTTGTATCCTCATCTAACTCCCTAAGGATTAAAATTCTCCATAATTACAATAAACTGATATTCTGATTCTTCTTTATATTGTTGAGGTACTTTCCTCCGGTCGACTCACAGAATAGTCCAGTTTGTACTAGAATTTTATTTAAATTCATACATGTTTTACTATTGAGCAAAAATAAAAATAAAAAATGTATTATGCTGTTATTTGTGTATCAGCAATAAATATACATACAAAAATAATTTAAAAAATGTTGACCTTGTATTGAATTGTATGTATTGATCATTTAGCTTACTTTCTTTCCAGAAAAACAGGTTCAACTGTTAAATCAATAGGCATGAACTTCCAGTTGTGTACATGAATGAAGGCCCAATTAAACTTTAGTGTTAAAGTTAGTGTTGGGGTATATACTGAAAAAAAGTATTCCATTACACATTACTAGTTACTTTTTAAAAAAGTAATGCCTTTCTTTACTTTGTTACTCGCTGTTTAAAGTAATTAGTTACACTACTAGTTACATTACTTTTGGATTACTCCATGACATCACCTGAGATGTGAGGGAGACTTGACAGAGCGAGAGAACTTGCTACATAGACTGAGACTACACACTGGAAAGGTGAGGAAAATGAGTGACAGGAAACGTAGTACAGTTTGGACATATATGTATATAAATGTGATAGACGGTTCAAAGGCAGAGTGTAGACTGTGCAATGTTAAACATTTCATATTGAGCAGCTTTTTGTCTAATTGAGATGGGTCTTTGTTTTTGTATTTTATAATTTATTTTTGTAGCACTCTGTTCCATGTTGAGTGTATTAATAAATCCATATAATTAATAAACATTTGACATAATGTATGTATTTACATTAGATATTCATTTTACACATAATTTGGTAATAAATTAATTTAAGCAACAAAAAATCTGAGTAGCCACTTGGGAGCCGAAAGAGCCAGCTCTTTTTAGTGAGCCGAGCCAAAGGAACCTGTTCTCTTAAAAGAGCCGGAATTCCCTTCACTAGTTTCTGCCCCGGGCACAGCTTACATTTCACAGTCAAATAGAATAGAGAATAGAAAGGGACGTTTGATTTGTGTTTTCGGTCCATTTTTTATTCGTAACTGTAATGTGATTACTGACGTTATCAACAGTAATGCGTTACATTACTGCGCTACAGACAAATGTAATCTGATTACAGTAACTTACCCCCAACACTTGTTAAAGTTAAGAAGTTTCAGCTTCTCCTCACCGCTGTATGGCGTTGCAGTAAAGCAAAGTTATCATACAGGGATGAGTGTTTGCATGCCATGTGAACATCAGCTTTGTTATCTGCAGGACATGGATGACTTAAAAAGATATTTTTCATTCCAACAGCAGCAGAACTTGTAATGGGTGTGTAAACTAGATGAATGCAGATGCTTTAATAGCCGTCAATCATCTTCACGTCCAACCTGTTGATTTTTGGGATCAGCATACATAAATAGACGATGAGAGTGAAAGTAAGTGCAGCGAAGGAGAGTGACTGCAGAACGACTCAAATACAACAGGGAAAGTTTCACAATGTCCCAGGTAAGAAATCAGATGATTAAATCATCCAGAATGATTAATGAATTAGTATTAATTGTTAAACCGCATTACTGTTTAACCAAATGCTGCTGAAATTAATTTGAGTGAATGTGCATTTAAAGAGTTTCTGCTCAGAATAGGTAGCCATGCTGATGGTGAGAGTATTTCTTTAAGTTTTTGAGATTCGGTGAATAATCCAGTACAGCAACAGAGGTCAGTTAATGACATTTGAAAATAATTTCCATCTGCTTAAGGAGGAACGTTTTCTCTGTGCCATCCTTAAATCTTTTGTATGTATGCAACAGCGGGGTTTTGTGACATAACTGCAAATCAAATGGTTCAATATGCAACTTACACAAGTGTGATGTAGAAACTTGAATAGAGTAGACTTTTAACTGAACAAGGAGACGTCTTGTGTTCACCAGCTAAACTTTGAAAAACATTTGTATATTTATGGTTTCAGAATTTTTCAATGAGGGAGACCTGGGGGAATGTGTTTTCACTATTTTTTAACAACTTAATTGAAAAAATCTGTAAAAAAAAATTAAAAAGACACAAATTATTCAAGGCATATTCTTTTTATATGCCAAATGTCTGGAGGGGATCTTTCACATATGGATCTGATTTCCATCTCTGTGTGTTGGAGATTTCCAATTTACAATCACATTATTTCTACCTAATATCGAGTTTGCAGACGTTAAAGTGAGACAGTAATCAAGGGTTTTATCCAGAGCAAAAGTGAAACCAAAAAACAAGGCCTGAACTTGCCAACAACAAAGATGTGATCAATCTGGTCTGGCGTGCTTGGCAAGGTCAATTTACAGTTCATTTGTCTCCTATTCAGCATCCATCTTAATAAATACTGTAGTATGTTGGAACGCAGATTAAAAATGTTTTGTCTTGATCACATTTATGCTCTCCTCGTAACACAATCATGCATTTGATAATAATCTACTGCGGAGTAGCTCTGCCACCATTTTTTCTAATATAAAGTATTTTGTAAGGATGTCTAGATCACAATCCTGATAGAGTCAGGACTTAGATAAACACACTCTATTAAGTGATTAATGCAGGTTCAGAGTTCTGGAAACACGTTGCATTAAAGTTTTAATGCAACTTTTCTAATCTGGATAAATGTCAGACAAATGAGGTAATATTACAAAATACAGAGTGATACTTTCCTATATCTTTAAATGTATGTAAGAACAGAGTGATGCCCCCTCTCTTTCTGCAGCCAGTTCCCTCGCCAAGGAAACAGATTTCCTGTCCTGAAAAAAATGAGGATGGCTTTCCATTAAAACCTTCAAAGGTTGGTGCTCAGTAATCTCCACATTAAGCAATGATTGGTTTTACTCTGTACTGAGATCAAGTAGTAGTATATATATAACCCTTAAATCAGGGTTCGTCATACTCAAATTCGTCAAATGCTAATATTTGTATTGATCTGATATCTACATCAGATAATACCATGCTTGATTTCAGTATGTTGATTTATTTAAATGTGACTGTACTGTAACAAAGAATCCATAGTTTTATATATATATATATATATATATATATATATATATATAGTTAACTGTGTGCTTATATATACACCTATTGAGAATTAATCATTTTCACTTTAATCATCAAACTTCAGTGCTTATAAAGCTCAGCGTGTCTTTGTATTTGTAACACTGTAACACTCTGCCAGATACTCAGTCTCTTTTAACGCAGAATATTTATTTCCATTCAAACTCAGGGAGGTTTGGTCCGCTCAGCTCCTCCTCCAGTGTTACCAAAGAAGTGGATTGTTAAAAAAAATGAACATGGCCATCTAGTGAAGGTAAGATTTTTGTTGCAAAGTTGTTGTGGGACAAAGTAATATCTTTATATAGTCAAATAAGTTCAAGTTAATGAAAAACCTCCTATCTGCTTTTGTAAAAGTAACCTGTAGTGACCCCATATCCCAAATGTTCCTCCTTTGAAGTGAGTTTGAAGATTTGGGGTTTTTTTTTGGGGGGGGGGGGGTCCAGTTTCAGGAAATGTGCAGACACAGAATCACTGACCACTGTAGGAACAGCAAGAAGCCCTTGAAATTACATTAAAAAACAGGTTGTTCATTGTTTTGTAGACCAGCATAATTTCTGATGTAGCATGAGCAAAACAGCAACTGGTAAACAAATGTCATGAAACTTTCCCAAACGTATCTCTGTTTGACCACAGGAAAAAAAATCTATTTGGTTTTGTTTCTTCTATCTATTCTTAATCGAATCCTTAATCAGCGGCAGACATAACAGCGTGTTTCTACATTCACTTAATAAATGTGGATTGTCGCTCATTTTCTCAGGTGATGGCTGACCAATCAATTGATGATAAATGTAAAGCACAACCTCCTCCACTGGCTCAAAGGCTTCCAAAGAACATAAAACAGCTTGACAACGAAGATGAAACCCTGGTAACTATCTTACAACTATGAAGGTATTTCACTATAACAATATTAAAAGAATTCAATTGCAATCTCTCTCATCTTCTACCAGGATGACAACTCTCTGTTGGACTGGTGGAAGGATGTGACACGTGAGTCAGAAAACCAAATTGAAAAGAATCCTGTTTGGTGCTCTTAGTATGTTTGGTAACTTAATGTTTTATTGATTTACAGCCTGGAAATTTCTGTGCAAAGACCTCAAACTCAAAGAAAGAAAGTAAGTACATTATTATATCTTTTATATTTATATAGCTGCACAGTGCATCTGAGTCTGATGGGAATGTCTTTAGTCTGGCAGATAGTCATGAACAAAAGTTGTGGGACCAAAGTGATAACAATTCATCCCAAAATCTGCAACTAGTTGAGCTATTTCACAAGATAAATGAAAACTTTAAGGCTGCTGGAGGAAAAGTAAGGACATCACCAAACTCTGCCTTCCTCTACTCTAACTAAAGCTAAATTATAATAATTTGATCAAATGTTCTCACAATACATTTCCAGGGTCATCAACATTCAGGCTGAACACCTCTATAAAGCTGTCCGGGTTTACATCCTCCTGCTGTCTGAACACGTTGGCTTCCTGAAGCAACTTACTGAAGAGCTGCTCTCCATTGCTGACAACTTAAACAATGTAACAGGACCATATATCATTATATAATGTCATGTATATTGCTCTTTTAGGATTAATTGAAATTGAAAGAATAATTTACCCTGGCTCTCCAGTCATAATTTCATTCAGACCAATCTTATATGACTACTGTACTTTCTGTGTTGGAGTGTATCTGGCTGTTGTGCTCGGTTTCATTTGTTCTGAATGCTGTGAATATATATTAATACATATATCATAACTTGGCCTGGATATGATCATTATAGTCTAATGAAATACCTGAGAATCAGATAAATTCCCTTTCATCTGAAGGTTTCAAAAGGCACAAAGATTGCTGGCATCACAGGAGGAGCTACAAGTGTAGCAGGAGGAGTGGCAGCAGCTGCCGGGGTGATTCTGTCTCCGTTTACACTGGGGTTCTCAATGGCCCTGACTGTTGTCGGGGTTGGTGTGGCTGCAGTTGGCGGCGTCACTGGTGCATCAGCAGCCATCGCCAACAAGGTGACCAGACATGAAACAAACTTTAGTGATTTTTTAATGTATGTCTTTGTTTGTGGTTTGTGTCTGAGGGATGGCTGAGGGGTTTAGCAATGTTTTTTGAGGTTAGGCAAATGGTTTCCTTGAATTTAAATGTTTTCCCCTTTTGTTTATGTTTCTTGTACTTAATGTAATTGTGTTGTTCATGGTAAAGGTGCAGTGTGTAACAGTATGAACCCAGAATGAACAAACTAAACACTGGTAAAAGATTGCGCCATTTGCATTTTTGCATGTTTTTCTGCTACGCACTTGAAAGGGGAGGGTGAAGCAAGAGATTTGCAATCTGCAACTACACAGCTAGATGCCACTAAATCCTACACACTGGTCCTTTAAAACTAACTGTATGCATGTCAAACTGAAGCATATTGAGTTTACATGTAATAAAATGTGTTATTTAAGTTATAGTTAAGTTTAAAGATGTCAATACAGCTGACAAGATACATTCATTCTGTATGTGTAAGTATGGTGCAGAAAGAACAGTACCGAACATGGTAAAGAGAGAGAGAAAATAAATGCAAAATTAGTTGACTATAGTGTTTCAAATATGTTTAAAATGGCAGAATTATACCTACATATAATGTATCTGCCTTTATAGAAAACATAATAAAATTCATACTTGTGTTTTCAATAATATAATATAAAATTGTATAGGAATATAGGACCTTAGAATAAGCTGTTTATATTTACAGATGCCACAGGTTGCCTTTTATGTTGAACTGCCATGTTTCTACAATAGCTCAGAAGGGACAGACCAAACGTCACTAAATACTACACACTGGTCCTTTAAGTTAAAGCTACTAGGTGTAGAACTGGAAATAGTTCTGCTCAGGCTGCCTCCCAATAGTTCAATCAACTTTGGCAGACGGTAATGCAATTTCCACCACAATTTGCAGAATAATCGCAAGATGCTAAAAACACAATAACATTACACATAGTAGCTTTAACTTTTCTACTCTACTTTTTAAATTGACCATTTTTGGTGTCAAAGCTGTTTAAAATATTATAGAATCTGTTCTTCCAGGTGATCTATGATCAGGACAAGAAGAAAATCGAAAAGGCCTTCCAGGATTACGAGGGCCGAATGAAGGAGATTCGGGATTGCGTCACTTTCATCGGTGATGGCATAGAGCGGCTAAGGCAGCATGATCTGTCTCTTCTGGATGAAGCCAGGAAGGAATCAGTGAGAGTAGGCAAGATGGTAGAGCTGGCTACTACAGGAGGGGGAAGTACCAAGGCTATTGAAACTACCAGTGGGGCATTTGGGCTGATGGAAGGCTTTGCCCATGACATTGGTATCCACTTCACCCAAGGAAAGGATGGTCAGAAGCAACTGAAGAAGGGCCATGAGTCGGCTTTAGCAAACAAACTCCGCAGTCTAGCAGAGAATCTTAATAATGCTTTGGAGGTGCTCATGGAAATGAAGGAAGACTTCATTAAGCGTTGTCCTACAAAGTAAATGTCTTTTAACTTGTAGACCTTCTCCTGTCTCCTGTTCATACTTGGAATACTGGAACTAATTACTTGGACTTGACATAATTAATATAATTTGGGATTTGTGTTAATTTCTTTTTCAATTAGTTCTATAATTGTAATAATTAAAGAAAATAAATATTAAGAATTAATTTGCATTTTTGTGTTTTATGCTCTTTGTAAAAAATTCAATCTTTTTTTCTCATTTTAAATGCATTATATACTTTGAGTTGCCTCTGTATATGAAATTTGCTACAGTACAAAACTTGTCTTTAACTTATCCTGCTTTAAGTACTTTGGATGAGTGTGTTCTTACATAAATATTTTAATTAATCTGAAGTAAGTAATAATCCACCCTCTCACCAGCCTTAATGCTCTGATCATCATCTGTACTACTGTATAATGTCCCAATGAAATGCATTTAATACGTACAGGTAACCACCAGGGGGCAGTCCAGTTCTCCCCCCAGTGAACCATAGTAGGGTTCATCAAGTTTACCCAACAGCTGCATACTGTGAATAAGAGACTGCAGGTTGCTGATGAACTAATATAGGAATACAACACATATACATACAATATATCCTGCCATATATATATTATAGGAATACTATATATGTATATGTATATAAATATATATATACACATAGGGACAGCCCACAAAAAGGGCAAAGAAGCGTTCAAGAACAATTAATTAATAACATTATTTTAGCCAATCAATACAGTTCAAATGTATCTTTTTAAGTGTCGATGAATGCAGTATAAAAATGTAAAAAATAGGTTAAATTGAACCGTTTTGACCATATTAAAATATATGTATGCTTTTGAAATTGGGCACCAGAAATATAATATAGTATTTAGCTAAATGAAAATGATTTTCTTTGGATGGAAACGTATCTTGAAGTATACATTATGTATACATTATGTCATATTTGTTGTAGTCTAGGCCTCCTCGTCCGTCGCTGACATTAAAATACTATTTCCTCTCTCAATGTTTACATTTTGCATTTGACCTACATTTGACGTAGGGAGGAACTCGTGTTTAAAGTTCCATATGGATCTATTTCGTCAGCTGTATAGACGTTATACATCAAACCAATCATAAAAACGACTCAAACTGAGTAATTACAGCGGTACACATGTTTGAGTCTAACTACAACTACTGTCCGGCAGGAAGGTTTTTGTTTGTACATTTTATTTTATACTTAAACGGAAACTCCTCTCACCGGCGCTTGCTAGTTACGCTGAAAACAAACGCCCCCGCGGAATGACATGGCGGAGGAATGCAGTCGGCGGTGCTTAGGCTCTATAAATACGGCTGTGACTCCGTCCGCCTGTCCTTCGTTCCTACGCCAGTTACAGTGATTACCGACTCTCAGTGGAAGCTCTCCCGCGCTAAAATGGCAGTTTAAAGGCGTGCGGCTATCCTTGCAGCGGCAACAACCCGGCAGTGCAAAGGCAAACTGCCCTGGCTATTTTTGGCAAAATGGCGTAAGTATTTTTTTTATTTATTTATTTATTTTTTTGGCAACTTCACTTCAGTACGTCTGGTCTCAACCGGCGTTAACTGAAAAGTGTAAACTCCACTGGCTAGTGTTGGAAGTTATCCGACTTAAGCCCTCAAGTTGTTACTCATTGCTAGGTTTATCAAATTATTGGTGAGATTACAAGTGGATCCCGATGTGTAGCTACATTTCCTGTTTGGGAGTTGGTGGTAGTGTCAAATTACAGACTTGACAGGTGAAGTGTTTCCAGCCGGCGTTGAGGCGTTTTGTGTTTTGCGAGTAAATATAATCGGTTGTGAAGCAAACGCCGAAAACTTTTCAAGCCCCTCGTTTTCTAAGGTTGATTTTATATCTTTTTAAAGCAACAACAAGGCTGTTTAGTACCTGTCAACATCGGTAGTGTTTGTGTGTATTGAACACTGACAACGTGGCGTGTCCAAAATGGCGCGCAGTGTCCTTTTCTACTCAGCCCTCGCACAGATGGCTCTGTTGTGAAAATGGCGGTTGCCCTCCCACATCTCGGCGGTGACTCACGGAGGAGGGCGTGGTTACTGGCCAGAGCATGACCAAATTAGGCAATGTTGTCCCCCGGTGGAGGGCGGGGCCGTTTGCACGCTTTAGTGAAACGGATAAACCAAAATTAGCCTCCCCCTTCCTCCCTCCTCCCTCCCCACCATGAGAGTCGTTAACAGCCTTAACGACCTAAAGCACAGGCTAACTGGAAAGTTGTGCGGTGGCAATATTTGCATGGGAGTTGTTACAGTCACGAAAGGTGTACTTGTTACAGGAAGTACAAACACAATGGAGAGTTTTTATAGATATACAGATAAGGTTGGCCCCCTTTTTTTTCCTTTTTTTTTAAAATGTCTGGCACAATACTTTCAAACGATTTTAATACATTTATTTTGTGTTTGTGTTATTTACATTAAAATAAAGCTTTGCTGTTCCGGCTGATGTTCTGTTCATTCACATTCTTAAGCTTTTTGACAACTCTAAAAAAAAAAAAAAAAATGTTTCTGTCCATATTTGACCTATTAAATCAACACTTACTGTCACTAGTCCTCAGTTTCTCCCCATAACATGGCATGTATCTCTCCATCTCCTTTGCACAGGTCTCTCTCGGCAACCACCCTCAGCTTTGCTGCCGTCGACAGCAGTACCGAACCGCTCGACCTATTAACGTCACCGGACTCTCCTTTGTTTATATTCACCCTTTCACGGCTACCACTGACCAGCAGCAGTCATGACACACTCCCAGCTGGCCTTGGAGGACGTGGAGGCCCTGTGCTTAGGTTGGTGTTGTGATTACAAATGTTCCCAAAGCACTACTATAAACATTACTGAATACAAAGCACTCAGTTTGGATAACAAGTTGCGAAAGTGTGGCAAATGCTGGACTTTGACGTCAAGAATAAAATGAAGATGACAATATTTTAGTCTCAAACCAGAAAAAAATTGTATTTTGATTGGATTTTTGTTTCATTATTTTATATTTAATATATTAGATTGCCTCATTTTATTGAACCTTTTAATGTGTCTGAGATTATTTCTGTGTGGTATCAGATAACCAAAATTAGCTGGAAAAAATGAGTTGGAAACTGACCATTTGTGTCATAACTTGGATACTTACTGAGGGAGTCTTTGTCCACAGGGCCCTCGTTTCTGATGGCTGACCCCATGGGGCCCCTTCTGGACCAAGATGAAGAAGAAGCTCTTTCTCCCTCCTCCTCTTTAGAGGGGAAGGCGCCAGCTTCGCCCCCCCTCTCTTTCTCCTCCTACGCATCTTCCCTGTCTCCCTACCAGACCCTGTCGTTCTCCCCGCTCTCTTCTGCCTCCCCACCTCCCTCTCCTCCTCCTCCCATCTCCTCGTTCCTGGGAACCAAGGCCGGAACGGACTCGCTGTCCCTCCCCTGGCTGGGTGCCAGCGACCTGCTCACCGCCCAGGTTGGAGCAGACGATGGCAAAGGTGAGAGTGAATTCAAATTCCATGTGTATTAAATATTTTGGCGAGATTAGTCAGTTGAGGTGTGCAGCAGCTGCATGAAAACAGATGAGGAAAGGACAGTACACAGTAACTTTAAATGTTGCTGATGTACAAAGTAAAATTACATGCTCAGATAGAAGCGCATTCTTTGTGTCAATTAGTTTGTTTGTGGTTTTTAAAAAAAAGAAGGGCTAAAGATGTTGCCACCACAGTTTTTAGAGGTGAAGTTGGGAATGTTAATTGCTTTCAGGCAAGCTGTAAATATTTTATGGGTGTTGGTTAAGCAGTCAAGGTTGCCCTGCAGGCAGCGTGTCCTAGATGTTAAAAATTGGGTTATACTAAGTCACATTGTCTTATTTTTAAAAATGAATGATTAAATAGTTCCACATCATAATATAATCAAATGAATAATGCTAGAAAAATGTCTCTTTCGCAAGATATTACACTTTATCAAGCACTTAAATTAAAGGCACAAATGAGTAATTGGTAGGTGTGGTGGGCTGTGAAGAACATTTATTGGTTAGCAGCAGGCAGGTGTGGCTCGAGTGTGTAGAGGAGACCGCCTCAAACTGGTTTTGTTAGATGTGTTATTTCACAGTGACGTGTCCCTTTTTGTTTTGTTGCGGTTTTCTCCGTGACTCTCTCTTTTGTCTTTTGGCATCTGTTACAAGGTTCCTGGAGTTGGGATATACGATCTTGAGAGTTTTATATTCGTCACAAAATCCTAACAATGCAAGGTGGTGTCATTGATTTAAATTAATATTGTTTTTGGCTTGCATTCACTGGTAATAAACACTGATAGTACTAAGTGTTTGTACAGTTTTATCTATTCAGTCATTGTTCTGATCGAATATTAATGAAAGCATCCTCTTTCAGCAGATGATGCTTTCGCAGGCATGGACTGGATGTCAGAGAAAATCGACCTGAGTGAATTTGACCTGGATTCCCTCATTGGCTCCTGCTCCTCAGATGAGTCTCCCAGCTCCCCCGAGGATCTCCTTGCCTCCCTCGAATCCCACATGGATCTGGATCTAGATTCATTCGACCCGACCATCCCCGCCCCACACGACAGCCTGGAGCTGGGTTTGTCACTGCCCAGCATCCCCGCCCTCCCTCTGGAGCTCGCTCTACCTGGGGCAGCAGAGGCCAAGAAGACAGAGGTGGCTCCTGATCAGGAGGTTGTTATGAAGTCTGAGCCTCCCTCCCCAGCTCCCTCTCCTTCTCCCCCCTCTCCAGCCTACACATTGGAACTGGGGAGTGAAGTGGATGTCCTGGATGCAGAGAAAATAGCCCCATCCCTCAAAGCAACCATTCCAGATTCCAGTGGAAGCATTCAGGCCACCAGCCCCATTGTGTTCTCTCTTCCCACAGCTGCCCACATTGTGGTGGTGCTCACCAACAAAGATGAGCCCCCCGTCATATCTCTCCCTGACCAGTCCATTGAAAGTTCTCCTCCAAGCGATTGCGACAGCGACTCTGGCATTGAATCCGGCACAGGCTCACCTACCCGCCTCCCCTCTCCTCCCACAGCTGGATCCTCCAGGACCAAACCCTACTCCAAACCAGAGCTCAACACCACTTCCTCCCCCTCTGCCAAGACCTCCAAGGTCAAATCAGTGTCTGGTGCTCCCAAGGTGGAGAAGAAGCTGAAGAAGATGGAGCAGAA